TGTGGACGGCAATGCGAACCCCAGATGCATGGAGCTGAGGAGTGGACCTGAGTGTAGTTCCCCAGCCCATGGAGTGCATGAAAGACCCGAATAAAAACTGGAGGCATCGGAGCCTCCGCAATGTCGATGCAGCCATGTGTGGAATTCTCTGGAAGGCATAGAGCTCCAGCGTTCCCGGCCCAGAAGCGGATGCACTGTGCACCAGTAATAGCAAGATGCGCGTGGCAGGCGCCTTGGGAAGAGCGGGTGTTGAGAGGGCTTTGTTCCAGCCTAAGTTTCCAGCCCCGGTGGGCCACGGAGTACAAGTGGAGCACTCTCCTGGCAGCGCGCTCGAAAGCTCTTCTTTTGACTGTACAAAGAGCTGGAATGGGTCATCCGGTTGTGAATGGGCTTACCGCAGTGGCTGGTTCGTTCCTTCTCTCCGGCCGGCTTTGCTCTCGAGCGAGCACCACCCTCGGCTTAACCGACTGTTCATTCCATTCAGCAGGAAAAGAAGCGGCAGTCGGTCTTCCAACTGGTTAAGGCCCCACCAGCAAGCTCAGGCCGAGCTCAGGGAGAGACATGACGTTTCTCGGGGCAGACGGTTCAGCTTCCTGCCTTTCGCCGGGCCGGCGTTCATAGCTCGGGACGAAACTGAAACACGACGTTGCAATTCCAGCCCCCCCCCCCTCCCCCCCTCCTCCCCCCAGTACTGTACAGCCCTGAAACCAAAACGGACCCAAACCCTTTGAACCTCCTTTCCAGCAGAAAACAAGACTCAAAAACCCTGAGCCACACTGAATGAAGCCCTTAAACCCTGAAACCCTTAAACCTTAAAACCCTTAAACCCCTCAAGCTCAGCAAAATGACGTAAAACCCTAAACCCTTAAACCCAACGATCCGGAAGCCGGAAACCGCAAACCGGAAACCCTAACCCAAAACCCTCAAAAACCCAACACAACAACAAAGAGGGTGCCCTAAACACTAAACCCCCTTAAAAACCCAACACAACAACGAAGAGGGCGCCCTAAACCCTAAACCCTAAACCCTCAAACCCTTAAACACCCAACCCAAGAACAAAGAGGGCACCTCCAGATCCACGGCCCTGCTGACGAAGTCCGCCAGCAGCGCCGGCGGCTCCCCGCGTCGGAGCGCTGCGAGCACCTGGAGGAAGGTTGGGTTAGAAGGGGTTTTGAGGGTTTAGGGTTTAGTGTTTAGGGTTTAGGGTTTAGGGTTTAGGGTTTAGGGTTTGGGGGGGGGGGGGTTAGGGTTTTGCTGGAAGTTTTTGAGAGTCCGTTAAGGGTTATTTGGGATTTGGGATTTGGGTGTCGGCAAAAGCTGAACCCAGAGAACTCAATTTGTTGTGGTCATGGAGTTTAGGGCTTCTAGAGTTTCGAGTTTTTGGGCTTCTGGCGTGGGCTTTAGTCCTTCTAGGGTTTAGAGTTTAGGGACTTCTGAAAAGGGCTTTGGGGCTTGAAGGGGTGTGTTGCATTTTCCGTTTGGGGGCTCCAACCTCCTGAAGGCCGAAACAACGAAAGGCAGCAAATCCAAAAGCAAGAGGAAACCCAAAGCAAAAGAGGCCTTTGGGCTTAGCCATTGCGGTTTCGGCGCCGGAGGGGGGGGGAGAGGGGGGAAGGGGGAAAGAAGCCCACCCTGAACCCGAAGCTCTAAGCCCCAAAACTGCAAAACCTAAACCCTAAACCCGAAACTTGAAGCCCTGAAACCTTAACCCGAAACCCTAATGCCGGTATGTCCTGTGCCAAGATTTAGGGTCTAGGGTCTGAAGTTTAGGGGTCAAGGGATCAAAAGCTACATCCTTGAAAGAGAGGGAGAGAGAGAAAGAGAGAGAGAACCCTAAACCCTAAACCCTAAACCCTAGAGCCCTGAACCCTAAACCCTAAACCCTAAACCCTAGAGCCCGGTTCCCTTCTTCGGAAGGGTTCCCCTTAAAAAAGTTCCTGGCCATGCCCATGTCTTGCTGGCCCGCGCACCCAGCTGCTAAGCTCCGAGGCCTTTGCCGACACCTGCCCACACTTTGAGATGGCTAAGGGGTTTAGGGTTTAGGGTTTTTCGGGTTTAGGTTTAGGGTTTAGGGTTTAGGGTTTAGGGTTTAGGGTTTAGGGTTTAGGGTTTAGGGTTTAGGGTTTAGGGTTTAGGGTTAGGGATTAAGGGTTCAGGTTTAGGGTTTGGGCTGTGGGATTTTTTAGGGCATAGGGGTTTGGGGTGTCGGATTACATCGGCTGGCTTCCACTTAGCAGGGTAGCTATAAATTTAAGTTTTCGTTCCCGGATCAAGAAACCCAATTTAAAAAAAAAAAATGGCTCAGGATCTAAAAGTTGCAGTAAAGCACCACAAAGTAAACATTAGCTACGAAACCCTGCCTACAAATGGCTCTGCATCGTCACATGCTGAATGTACATTACTCGGTGCGAGTTACTATTCCTGTTACTAGTTCCTAAGTCTTATGTACGAACTACTACCTTCTACCTATTTCTACTTGCGAACTCCTCGCTTCTAACTTCTAGCCACTGATTACATGCTATTGCTCAGTTCAGTACTCGCTAGCATTCACTTTGTGTGCCCTTACCATCTACTACCTTGCTGGCTTGTCCGTATGGGGGGGGGGGTCCCGTATAGTATAACCCAAAGCAGGAAAACATCTACATGCCCCACAAGGCCAAACCCTAAACCCTCAACCCTAGACCCTGAAACCCTGCACCCTGAACCCTAAACCCTAAAACCTAAACTCTATGTTTGGGGCACTTCGGACGCTCTGATTCCACCTGGGGGCCCTCGTGCACGTTCTTGGGCACGGCGCCTTCGCCATCACCTCAGGGGAGCTCCCTAGGGTTTAGGGTTTAGGGTTTTGGGTTTTGGTTTTGGGTTTTAGGGTTTAATTTAGGGTTCAGGGATGGTTCTTCGGGAACTTACATTCCACTACCATGATAAGGGGGAGTATGCTAAACGTGAAATAGGCATGGACTATGGCAGAAGAGTCCCTGAAACGCGGGATCCTTACCAAAAAAGGGACCCTTTCTTTTCTGGTTACTTTGGGGACCGGTCTTTTGATCAGCACCTGAGAAGCACTTTATTTGGCCTGCGAAGGTAGTTCCATCTAAGGTCCTCAGGAAGCAGGGGCTTCAGGCAGGTGGCCCCAGAGCTTGGAGCCTGGGGGGCCTCACTGAGCAAGAAATCAAGCGACTTCGACAGGCCTGGTGCAGCGTCTTCCGCGGCCATCGCACATCGTGCACTGCTCTGCGCTCTTGCGGCTCTAGCACGGCTTAGGGTGGCGGGTTTGGGGGTTAGGATGGGTTAGGAAAGAAATTATATATGGTATATTAGATATATATATATATACATATATTTTTTATTTATATATTTACTTATTTATACATTCTTATTTGAGCCTCTAGAAATTTCGGGTCTTAAGCACCACTCTCAAGGGGGGCATGTCTGGGTCCCTACGCCCCCCCGGTATATTCAGTCATCTTGTTGGCCAAGCCATGGGAGAGACAGCATGTCGCCCTCGCTTTGTGCCGAAACTCTGAAGCCTTCTAAGCCTTCTCTTAAAGGCCACAGACCATAAGCAACTTACCTCCATTTTCTATACCACTACGAACCACTAAAGACCATGACAGCCGCCCACAATAACCAACCACGATAGGCTGACAACCCCACGTAATGCATCGAGAGAGCCGCGATAACATCCTTGGGTAGGGCTTCGGTTCTCAGCTGTGCAACGCCTCACAGAGATGCAGGGTTCTACCTTAAGGGGCCTGAAGAATTAGAATTGGGGGGGGAGGGGGTGATTAAAGTATAATGACAAAAAGGGACCAGAAGGGAATAGTATGAGTAATTCTTCCGGCTCCTACACTACTGCAAGAGGCCTTTCTTGGCAGCATCCCGATCTCCGCCAGACTTCGGGAGTTCAGCGCTAGCGCAGATTTCGTTGGCAAATTGAAACCTCCTGGAACACATGTTGGCCCCATCGTTGATGATAAATGCCGCCTGGAACAATTTGAAGCTGCAACAGCCAGCACTGAAGATGAAACAGAATGCGGCACAGTGACCAGTTTCGACATAGCGCCCCTCGCGGGCGGCGGCATTCGTCAATCCATACCTACAACTACTATCATTCTGCAGGCTCCGACACAGCCATAGGCCTCTGGTGCAAGCTTCAATGAGTCATGACTGGACCATCTAGCGCAATCTGCACCTGAACCCCCGACCCTCGGGGCCTGAATAAATAGAATAGGGTTTTGGGGGGATATTATGGTAGAACTATATAGGGACCATCAGGGAATACGATTAGTAATTTTTCCGACCCCTATATTGAACCCTAAACCCTTCGTTCCATTCTCGGCCTCTCGGTGAGCTCTCGAATTATATTCGAAAGGGTCCTCCACATGAACCAGCCTGATCGGTGGACCAGGCTCTTCGGCCACCCGCCAAACTTCAGAGTCACAAGCCACACGAAATCCGAGGCTCTTAGGGTTTAGGGTTTAGGGTTTGGGGTTTAGGGTTTGGGGTTTGGGGTTTAGGGTTTAGGGCTTAGGGTTCAGGGTTTATATAGGGTTTAGGGTTAAGAAATCCGAGGCTCTTAGGGGTTTCGGGGGGAGTTTGAGGCGAACGCGGCTTCGTACATCTTCGTTTCGAAGCAACGACGTCCCCAATATCCCGGAAAGGGTGACAAAGGGAGGATACAAGGGCCTAGTTCCGAACTCCCTAGAACTGGTAAGTTAAGGATGTCAAGTGTGGTTGTAGAGTTCAGGAACAACCTGAAGCGAGCGTCCGTGTAATCCCACGCCTTCTACTCCTTAAATCCTCAACCCTAAACCCTAAACCCTAAACCCTAAACCCTAAGCCCTAAACCCTAAACCCTAAACCCTAAACCCTAAACCCTAAACCCCTGACCTGCCCTTCCACTGCAGCAGCTCGAGCTCTATGAATTTGGCTGAGGTCGATCGCTGGGCATCTCTGTCCCTCAGGAGACGGATTCGACAAGCCAGCGGGCGTGCCACTCAGTATGGGGCATACCTGGCAACCCTAAACCCTAAACCCTAAACCCTAAACCCTAAACCCTAAACCCTAAACCCTAAACCCTAAACCCTAAACCCTAAACCCTAAACCCTAAACCCTAAACCCTAAACCCTACAAGAGTCGGCAGCGACACCACTCAAAGCCCCACTTAGACAGCACCAACATCCAAGACCCTAAACCCTAAACACCGTCAACCCCAACGCCCCCCCCCCCCCCAAAAAAAAAAAAAAAAAAACTAAAACTAAACCCTAAAACCGAAACCTGCAAACCCATGATGCATTGGTTTGCGCATTTCATTTGAGCTTTTGGGCCGACTCCAAACACCCAAAGAAAGTCCGAATTTGCGGGTTTAGACGGTTGAGGGCTGAGGGCTCCTGACTGCACGGGAACTGCTGGATGTCAGTAGGCACCACGGCTTAGAAGTAAGTTGTTATGAAAGACTGTTCTGGCTGATGTCATTGCTCTTCCTGTTGCGTTCCAGTATAAACCTTCTGAAAGCAATGAGCTGTCCTGACACTGTAGAAGTACAGGGTACAGTACCACGACTTAGAAAGGGATCCGAGGTGGACGATCTCGGTAGTCATAAAGGCTCCTGCAATTGCACCCTAAACCCTAAACCCTAAACCCTAAACCCTAAACCCCAAACCCCAAACCCCAAACCCCAAAAGTCTGGGTGTCCGGCCCTTTGCCCTTGCCTTTGTAGCCCTTCCTGCATAGCTTGGAACTTCGGGTGTTTAGGGTTTAGGGTTTAGGGTTTAGGGTTTAGGGTTTAGGGTTTAGGGTTTAGGGTTTAGGGTTTAGGGTTTAGGGTTTAGGGTTTAGGGTTTAGGGTTTAGGGTTTAGGGTTTAGGGGTTCCCTTCCGCAAAATATGGAACCTGAAGGCCTCAACCCCCGAACCCTACAAAACCAAAGAAACGTGGTCGACTAGGCTGACTAGCCTCTGAAACCGAAACCCCTGCATCTCTGAACCCCTCAACCTTCCAACCCCTAAACCTGAACCCTCAAAACCGAAGCCTATATTGAAACCCCCCAAGGCCCATGCCTTCGATCCCGCATCCCCAAACCTTCTTCACCCTCAAGCCTTGAAGAAAAGTGAGCCCACAAACCCTGCAAAAAAAAAATCAAGCTGCAGAGCACCATTGAGGAGCCTCTCCGATTTCGACCCTAGATGTAGCTGGGTCTTGGAGTTTGGGGTTTAGGGCTTCAGGTTTAGATCCCTCCACTTCTCGTGCGGCCCCTTGGGCGCAGAAGCCTCTGGGCCGAGAGTTGGCAGGAAGTGCGAGGATTCGGGAATAGGGCCTGGGGTGGGATTCGGGAGTCGGGCTTAGGGCTAAGGATGCTGAGAGAATTTGGGCTTAGGGGTTGAGGGGTTGAGGAGGTAAGGGCTTAGGGATTCCGGGCTGCTTGGGGTCACGGCACGCCACACATGCCACACTCACAAAGCAAGCTTTCCTCCAGGGCGCGTAGCCATAGTACCTGCGGGAGGCTGGTTGGGACGAAACGGCCCACGGGCCTGTTGCTTCGGGTGTCTCCGTCCACAAAGCCAACTAAACCATAGATGGCCCAAAAAGCTGTCTCAAAAGTCTATCACGAGCATCATCATCATCATCATCACCACCATCATCATCATAATAATCATCATCGCCATCATTATCACCACCACCACCACCATATCATCTAAACCTAGACCCTACACCCTAAACCCTAAACCCTAAACGCTAAACCCTAAACCCTAAACCCTAAACCCTAAACCAAGCCCTTAGAAGCACATCCTTTGCCGCGCACGGGTCAGCCCAGGGATCGGCCCAGGGATCGTAGTAGCCTCAAGGGCCCCAGGGAAAACAAAGGAGGTTGGGCTTCTATGGGGTCATGATGGGGTTTGAGGTTTAGGGTTTAGGGTTTAGGGATTAGGGTTTAGGGTTTCGGGTTTAGGGTTTCGGGTACAGGGTTTTAGGCTGTTTTAGGGTTTAGGGTTTAGGGTTTGCGAAAATACGGCGCCCCGTACCCCTAGTTTCGGAAACCCCCGGATGGGTGGTTCTCTGACTAAGGGTCCCTGTTTGGGGGTCCTTACAGGGTGCTGTACGATATCGGGGAGCCCAAAAAGTGACAGCCGTTTAGGGGCCTGGCTACTTGAGTAGCGAGTAGTTTGAACTGTTCTACTGGATTTCTGGATTCCAGGAGTATGAAAGGAAGGTGGGGTTGGGTGGGGATGATGGTGACACTGCTGAAGGCCGCTCTGTTACATTGGGGGGTTTAGGGTTATCGGTGGACTTCGGATTGAAAGCTTGGGTTCTAGGTCCTTTGCTCGCAGGCGTTGATTTTGCTGCTCACTACAAAGTCAGTCTGGAGCTCAGCGGGTTGTTGGGTGAGGCAGGCAGGGGCACCCCACAGATCTCTTAAAAGGGATTTCGCGGGGATAGGGCGGTAGGGATTAGGGAGTCTCAGTTGATTTGCTGGAACCCAGTAGGCAATGCTTTGTAGGCTACAAATTGAACATTCAACCCGCAAACTCTTAAGCCGTACGCCTTAAACACCGGACTCTCAACCCCCTAAACCGCTAAACCCCCAAACCCCCCGAAACCCCCCGGAACCCCCCTAAACCCCCGAAACCCCCGAAACCCCCCTAAACCCCCCAAGCACAAGCTCAGGTCTTGGCCTTTTCCCTTCCCTTTGCCTTTGGCCTTTCCTGCCCGAGGCGCAGACAGGGTCGGTGGACTTGGGGTTCTTGAGCTATTTGGGCATGTCCCAAAATACGGGAACCCCCCCAACAGAACCCCCCAAATACTATAATCCTTGTAGGATACCCCCAAAATAAGCCCCAACATAACCCCCAAATACTAGAATCCTTATAGGATACCCCCCCAAAAAGGGTACCCCTATTTTCGGAAAGCCCCCAAACTTCAGTTTGTGGGAGGCTTCGTGTGGGAGGCTTCGGCACTCCCTCCCGGCCTTTACCCTTGCCCTTGTTGAAGCCGGGGATGTTGGTCCTCTTCTGAATCACCTCTCCGAACGCAGTTCCGCGGGTGCATGGCTTCGGCTTTAGGGTTTTTAGGGTTGAGGGTTGAGGGTTCAGGGTTTAGGGTTTGGGGTTTGGGGATTGGGGTTTAGGGTTTAGGGTTTAGGTTTTAGGGTTTAGGGTTTAGGGTTTAGGGTTTAGGGTTTAGGGTTCAGGGAGCCCAGGGTTTATGGATTAGGCTTTGGCTTTCTAGGGTTTAGGGGGCAATACCGAGAGAACATGGGCTGTTGGCGCAGAATGGAACCAGCCCCACACGGTGAACATGGGGCCCAGAGGCATCAGGATTTGTTAGGGCTTAGGGCTCCGTGTGTTAAAGTGTTGGGCGTAGGGGCTTAGGGAAGATCCCTAATCCCTAAACCCTAAACCCCTAAACCCTAAACCCCAAAACCTTAAACCCTAAACCCCTCGGTTAATGGTTTAGGGCGGCCATCCCTCCTTCGGGGGTTTAGAGAGAGAGAACTTGAGTAGCGTTCCAAACGATGGACCCTTTGCTAGGTACCCGAAATACAAGGCGCCGCATCCGCATGCTGGGAAAAAGGGGGCCCTAAGCTAGGGAACCCTAAACCCCAAACCCTAAACCCTAAACCATAAACCCTAAACCCAGGGAGCGGATCTAGAAAATATGAAGAAAAAGGGCAAGGAGTTGATTTGAGCCGATCTGGTGCCCGACGATTTAAAGCGGGCGGAGGGATGTGGGGATGTAGGGCTTACTAGAGTTTGGGGATGTAGGGGTTTCGGGACCTTTAGATTAGCTGAGGAGCATTCTAACAACCGTAAAGCCCTAAACTTTGCCCTGAACCCTCAATAAATATAGATAGATAGATATACCCTTTAAGGGGTTTTTTAGGAGATATATACATATATACCCTTTAAGGGATGATATAGGGTATATATATATATATATATACATATATATATACATAGAAAACCCATAGCACTCCCGGCACTCCCCGGGCCCCGCCTTGACACCCCCAAACCCGCAGGACATCTGTAGTCCTACTTAGCCTTTTCTTGGGGAGGTTCGCGGGGCCTTAGAAGCCTACGGCACCCTGCACTGTAAAGCCAAAACCCTAAACCCTAAAACCCTAAACCCTAAACCCTAAACCCTAAACCCATGAAACCCAAAAAAGAACCTGAAAAAGTAGACCCAGTGATCTTGGGAGGCCTTTAGCTGACGCCCACGGAAGAGGGAGCCATTCAGCAATAGCGAGTTCCTCAGCTTTGAGGTCTCAGGTTGTTTCGGCTTTGGCACTCGCGGTCATGGGGGCTTAGGGTTGAGGCTTTCGAGGTACATGAGGTGCAAGCAAGGGAGGCTGGAGAGTAGGAGATTTATCCTCTAAACGAGCTAGCCTAAGGTTCTTCTGACGCAGGGCTACCTACAGTCTCCTTACCTGGAACCCATTTGCTTGACCACGATGGTCGCAGGAGTCACTGAGGGGCCGTGCTGCACGCTCTGCTCATCGCCGAATTCTATGTAGGCGCGGCCCTGCAACAAAGGAAGGCCAAACTCCCGCGAACCCGAATTAGGGTCTAACTACCCCTAACTACCCTAACACCCTCCTCTACGAAGGAGTACCCAACCGAAAGCCTACTCCCCCTCCCCCTCCATCTGAAATCTCCCCAAACAGCCCCAGAAACCCGAACCCCCCCAACCGCCGTCCAAACCCTCCTGCTCGCACCTAAAAGCGTGACAAGCACATACACCCTAAACCCTAAACCCTAAAGTCGAACCTTCGGATGGCCGGTGAACTTGTCGACCAAAATCGTGATTCGATTGATTTGCCTTGCGGGTTCAGGGTTGCAGTTGTCGGGTTTAGGGTTTTGTGGCATGACTCAGCGGCATGACTCATCATGACATATGCTGTTGTGTGCCTCGGTGCGTCCAGCATACTTTGAAAGCCGCCCCTAAACCCTATAAACCCTAACCCTAAACCCTCAACCGTTCAACGTCGAGTTGCAGCTCCTCAAATACCAACTCTTGACCTGCAAAAGAGGAACTTCGCTCTGTCTTCGGAAAGCTCGAGGGCTGGTCGGCAAACTCCCAACCCCCTAAGCCCTCTCAACCCTAAAGCCCTCTAAGCCCTAAACCCTAAGCCCTAAACCCCTGAAATCCTAGAACCCCAAGCCCTCGAGACTCGAAAACCCAGAAGCTCCGAAACCCTAGAACCCCAAGCCCTCAACTCTCGAAACCCCCAAAACCCGAGGGCTGGAAAGCAAAGCCCCGCACCCGCAGGTCTTGAAGTGCTCCTGCAATTCCTTGGGGGGGTTTATGGTTTAGGGAAGTCAGGGAATTTAGGAAGTTGTGGGAATTTAGGGGTTTTTGGTTTAGGGAAGTTAGGGGAGTTAGGAAGTTGTGGGAGTTTTTTGGGGAATTTCGGGAAGTTTATAGGCCAAGGGTTTAGGGTTCTAGGGCTTCGGGGATTTAGGGCTTTAGGATTTGGGGGCTTTCAGGTTTTGAGCTCAAGGGCTCTAGGGCTGAGGGCTCCAGGGCTTCGAGTCTTCGAGTCGAACAGGTCTTCGGGTTTACTTCGAGGGTTCATGGGGCAGTTGTAAGTAGGGGCTATAATTTTGGTAACTCTACCTATAACCCTACCTTAGGGTACTTAAAAACTATTAAAAACCTTACTTATAACTCATAACTACCCATGAACCTCCAAGTAGGGTTTTCAGGTTGTCGGCTGCGGTGCCAGAACATGACATGGGCACTGTCTTTTTAGGGGGTTCTTCAGGGAGGGGGGGTTCAAGATACTCCCTCCCCACTACTCCCCTCAAGGCTCCCCAAGCTTCCCAAAGTTTCCCCAGGTACCTACCCCTTGAACCCCCCCCTCCCTTAAGAACCCCATATAATGTCTTGATCCAAAAGAAAGGTCGCTCCGAAACCTGGGAGCGTCCGTATGTGCCCTAGGCTTTGTTCAGGACTCTGTCAAAACTCCCAAGCTGCCCCACAAACCCTAAACCCCAAACCCCAAACCCGAAACCCTATAGACCCTAAACCCTAAACCCTAAACCCCAAACCCTAAACCCTAAACCCTAAACCCTAAACCCCAAACCCTAAACCCTAAACCGCAGCCGAGGCTCTTCGGGAGTCGCACCCCAGTCCACAGAACCCACGTACCTGACGGCGAAGCTTGGGCCGTTAGGGACCCTAAGAACCCGACAAGCCCTGAGGGTTTAGGGTTTAGGGTTTAGGGTTTGGGGTTTAGGGTTTGGGGTTTGGGGTTTAGGGTTTAGGGTTTAGGGTTTAGGGTTTAGGGTTTAGGGTTTAGGGTTTAGGGTTTAGGGTTTAGGGTTTGGGGTCTAGGGTTTAGGGTTTAGGGTTTAGGGTTTCGGGTTTGAGGTTTGGGGTTTAGGGTTTAGGGCTTAGCCCTGAAACCCGAAAGCCCTAAATTCGAAGAACAACTAAACGCTAGCTTGTTCTAACTTGGGGTGCCCAGAAGGCGCCCTAATGTAGAGCTAGACCCTTCCGAACCCTACACTTTGAACCCAACTCTGTGAAACAACTTTGAACGCTAAAGCCTGAAAAAATTGAAGCCCAGCACCCTAGATTCTAAACCCTGCATAATAAGCTTTCGGGTGCACGGCGAAAGGTAACTAGCGGATTATTTTGCTGCGCAAGAAAGGGTGCGGGGGGGGGGGGGGTAGGCAGGTAGTAAAGCTTACGTTCACGAGTAGATTGTTGGGGCACCATCAGTGGGCTAACTACCGTCGCAACAAATTGGCTACAACCTTTTGCGGGGCTACCCGACACCCCGAACCCTCCTACCCCCACCTACGACCTGCCCATGAACCTTCAGACCCAAACCCCTAAACCCTAAACCCCTAAACCCCTAAACCCCTAAACCCCTAAAGCCCTAAACCTAAACCCCCAAAAGCCTCAACCCAAACCCCTAACCCCTAAACCCCTAAACCCCTAAACCCCTAAACCCCTAAACCCCCAAAAGCCTCAACCCAAACCCCTAACCCTGAACCCTGAACCCTAAACCCCTAAACCCCAAACCCCAAACCCTAAACCCTAACAACCCCCAAATGCGGTTGCCCCATAATAAACCTAAAGTGAGCACACGGATCGCTTGTCGACCTCTTCTCGGTCCACACCTCCGTGTTTTTGGGGGCGGGCTGGGGATCGCAGGGGGGTTGAGAAGTTTAGGTTTAGGGTTTAGGGTTTAGGGTTTTGGGTTTAGGGTTTAGGGTCTAGGGTTTAGGGTTTTAGGGTTTGGGGTTTAGGGTTTAGGGTTTAGGGTTTAGGGTTTAGGGTTTAGGGTTTAGGGTTTAGGGTTTAAGGTTTAGGGTTTAGGGTTTAGGGTTTAGGGTTTAGGGTTCAGGGTCCAAAAATTTAGTTCCAGGGTCCTTAAGGGAAGGGGGGGGGGGGTTCATGGGGGGAAGTGCCTGGGGAACCTTTTCGGGAGCCTCACGAAGTGGTGGGGAGCCTCGGGGAACCTTGGGCTCAAGCCGGCTCAGGAGGCACCCGCTCGTGCTTGGGAATGCAAGTGTACCCTGTTAGAAATTCGTGTACTTGGAGGTTCATGGCACTTACTAACCAATCACAACTGTACTTACAACCCGCCTAGAAGCCCCTTATGTGCCCTAATACAGTTTTTTAAATACAGACATAAGTACAGCTATAATTGGCTAAGAATAAGTACCATGAACCTCCAAGTAGCGCACCCAACTCCCGAACTCCCCATGAGACACGGCCCCAAGTTTCGGGCTCGGGGGTTCAAAGATGTCCATGGGCGCAGCACATTCAGAGGGTTCAGAAGGGTTAAAGGGGGTTCAGAGGGAGGTAAATGTTGGGTTTAGGGTTTAGGGTTTAGGGTTTAGGGTTTAGGGTTTAGGGTTTAGGGTTTAGGGTTTAGGGTTTAGGGTCAAACCCTAACCCTATTGAACTGGTATACATGTGCGGCCGCCCTCTGAGCCCTCCGGCCATCTCCCGTCTCGTCGACCGAGTCGGTGAGTTTCTTCAGCTTCTCTGCCTCGCACCAGGGCTTGCGGTGAAAGTGTCCTTAGGGTTTAGGGTTTAGGGTTTAGGGTTTAAGGTTTAGGATTTAGGGTTTAGGGTTTAGGGTTTAGGGTTTTGGGGTTGAAGCATGGCAGGGTTTCACCCGAAATAACATACCCCTGGAGCTTGTGAAGGCGTGTGGCTTCTGCCTCCGGAGAGAAAGAAACAGCAGGGCCCAGCAGGGGTGTCCCAAGGCGAGTCCCCTTTCAAGACACAGGCGCCTCTTCTTCCATTTCGGCTACCTTCTTCTGCATCTCCTGACAATGGGGGGGGGGGGGGGGGGGGGGAGATCTGCCCAAACATCGAACGACATTTTGTGGCTCACGGGGTTCAGGGTGTAGTAGTCATACGGGGTTCAAAGCAGCTGGTGAGCTGGTGACCTGGTGAAAACCATGTTCGCGGATACTTATATGATGTAACATATGTGACCTACCCATGACCCTGACACCCTAAACCTTGCTGTTGACTCCCTAAACCCTAAACCCTAAACCCTAAACCCTAAACCCTAAAACCCTAAACCCTAAACCCTAAACCCTAAAACCCATGACACCTCGAAACCCAGAGATTCAGTCGACCCGAAAGGTCCTCGATCTCCGCATCGGCGGCTGTGAGGTCGCCATCGTCCGCCATGGTGGAGGAGTCAGTCTGGGAAGAGCTCTAAAACCACTAATTGCTTAAGAACCCCCAAAAAATGTATTTAAAAAATCCTCCCTTATAAGAGCAACATAGGGATTAGTATTTTCTATTCTTTTGGGGTTCTTAGGCAAATTTAGTAGTCAAGCCCTAAACCCTGAGCCCTTTGGTAGCGTTTAAGGTCTTGTGCCCAGGGTTGAGTCTGGAGACTGCTCCTTGTATGGAGGAGCCCCTAGGCCCTAAGCCCTGTATCCTCTCTGCCCGTCTACGCTTGAAGGGGGAAGACGGGGCCTTTTGATTCAGGGCTGAAGGGCTTCGGGGTTTGTGGAGGGTTTAGGACTTCTGGGGAAGCGGACTTTCGGATCACTTTTTCTCTGGGGGGGGCGCCTAACCCTTGAGGCTCAAAAGGGATGCAGTGGGCCAAAAGCCACTTTGCTTTTGTAACTTGGAGATCCCCTAAGTCGGAGCTGCTGGCGTCATGGGTCGTGGGCTCACTATGGCTAATCCCTAAACCAACCCTAAACCCTAAACACTATGGCGAATGTTGACGGCTTTTGCATGACCTTCCGGGGCTTCTTGTGGGCTTTATGAGCTTCTGGTCGCGTTGCTTCTGGGCTCGTTTCGGGCATGGCTTGGGCCTATGGGACGGTTTTAGGGTTTTAGGGTTTAGGGTTTAGGGTTCAGGGTTTTGGGTTTAGGGTTTCGGGTTTAGGTCTTAGGGCTTAGGGCTTAGGGCTTAGGGCTTAGGGCTTCGGGTTTCAACGTTTCGGGTTTAGGGTTTAGGGTTCAGGGTTCAGGGTTTAGGGTTCAGGGTTTAGGGTTTAGATCAACTGGGTCCCCTGCCAGGTGGGAGGCAACGTAGAACCACCCGATCCAGGTGGCATTCGAAGCTTGGCTGGGAAGCTGCGGAGCCACGCAGAGCTTGCTTGCTTGATACTCGGAGGCACAAATAAACATACTAGGGCACTTAGGAGGCTTGTAAGTAAGCTATGAGTACAGCGATAAATTCACCATGAACCGCCAGGTACCCCCGTATTACGGCGCTTCCTGTGTGGGCTCTCTGAAAGCCCTCCCTCCCCATCCCTTCCTTTCTCCCTCCCTCCGAGGGCTCTCAGCCGCTCATGCAGCTTTCTGGCTTGTGGGCCCCGGCTGCCACGGCTTGAGGTTCTTGGGGTTCCCTCTTTCGTCTCCATCCTCATGAAGGGGCTTCAGCTGGCCTCTCATGCCAGAAGCCTCCGAGATCACAGCGGCTGCGCATCGCCTGGTCGTCGCCGCTCTCTGCCTTACAGCGCAAAGTGCTGGGAGTGCCGCTGCGAGCGTCCGGCGTCCTCTGGAGCCCATCATGAAGCTTATTGGAGGCTATCTCGCAGCGTCCGGCCTTGATGCTTCTGCACCAACTGGCGGATGTGCTCCATGGTGGCAAGGGATGTGGTCAGGTTCAGCACCATGTGATCGTAGACTTTGCTTGCGAAGGTGTCTTCCAGCACATAGAGACCAGGGCTCTCGGAATCCAGAACTTCCCCAGCGACGCAGTCGATCTTGAGGGCCAGCTCTTCGCGAGGGATCTGGAGGCTATCCGAGTGCCTCACGCTCGCCAGGAGGGCCCAGCCGCGGCCATCGGAACTCACGGGAACGGCCACTTCGCAGTCGGCGTGCCACTCGGCACACCGCCTCAACGCCTCGCCCAAACCTCCCCACAACACCTCCAGCATCCAAGGGCTCTCCAGGACTCGGCCAACTCTGGCCGCCTCCTTCGCAGAGCTTAGGCTCTCCTTCGGCGGCCGAAAGGCGCAGAGGAACTCCCGATGAAGCAGCACGAGGTCGAAGTTGGCCAACCTGCTGATGGGATGGACCTGCGCCGGCAGCTTCATGGAAGCAAAGCGGGTCTCGGCCAGGGCCTCGCGCTTCACGTTGGGCGGCAAGGGCAGGCAGCTGTCATGCTCAATCCTATACTCCCCTTAGAACCCTAACAATAATTTGTGTTTTATCCTCTTGGGTTTTATATAAACAATTTTCTTAAAAATAATTCCCAAGGGGGATATAGAATCCGCTGCACCTCAAGGCCCGACAGCCGGAGGGATCTGAAAAAGAAGGTGGCATGCCAGTGGGTCTCGAGGACCTCGCAGCCCAAGACCAGGACCAGCCCACCCTCGTGCATGAGAAGCAGCTGGGAGAGCTGGCCTCCGTAACCTCCGATGTACACCTTTGCCGCCGAGAGAGACCTCAAGGGTGGGAGTGCAGCCGCACACACGCGGCCATCGCAGAGACACACAGAGATTGGTGTGCAGAGCCTAAAGGTTTTTGGAGGCCCTAAACCCTAACCCTAAAGCCTAAAGCCTAAACCCTAAACCCTAAGTTTGGGATGGCTTTGGAGGGTGTTTGGGGAGTCTTGGGGTCAAGGTGGAGTTCGAACTCAGCTGATACCTCACAGTGCTCACCCAGCTCTTGCCCACGAAGCTAAAGAGCGTGGCACCAACGAACTTGGCCAACTCCTACAATAGGGCACTACAAGTCCTTGCAAGCGATATTAGGGCATTCTGTGCGAGATTCTCTTATTCCTCTTCCTACTTCAACTCGGACGAAAAGAGGATGGAAGCCTGACCAAGCCCTCTCGGGCCCAGGGTCCTCTGCATTCGCAGAGGTCCGGCGAGTGGCCCCGGGCCGTGCATCCAGCAGCACCTCGGCTGGCTCCGAACCGTCCCGGAGTTCAGTGGGCTCCCTGGGAAACTGCGCGGGCCGCGTGGTGAGGTGGTAGTGCGCGCGGAGTTGCCGAAACATGGTCCCGGGAGAGTAGAATGGCCAGGGCTTTCCGGGTCTGGCTCCCAGCAACTCCTCGAAGCCACCCGTCCGCAGCCGCGGGTGGGCGCTGAGGATCACGGACTCAAAGCAGTACACCTCGTCCACGCCCATGAAGATGGTGGGAGACTCAAACACCGTCGACACGAAGTCTTCTTGAAACCGCTTGACACCGGCAGCACCCAAGCTGGAGTGCAAGTTGGCCACGGTGCGCTGGACCCGAAATTCCGGAAGGTTCTGGTTGACGACTTGTGCCACCACATCAATCAGCATGTCGTCCAGAAGAAAATGCCCGATGTTCGCCTTGGGTAGCCCAGTAGCCGCATGATGATATGGGTACCCCTTTTTTAGTTGATTAACTTTATAAGGGAACCCAGAACCAAAAAAACAATTGATAATCACGATAAGAAAATAATCATCATAATAATAGTCATCATCAAAATAATAATCACAATAATAATCATGATAATAAGAATAAGAAGAATAATAATAATGATAATGATAATAATAACTCAACAGTAAAGTAAGCAAACGGCACCACTGGGCGACCAGGTCGCGCAGTCGGGGCAGCGCTGGCTCGGGGAGTGGCCGTCGTGGACAAAGCGGCTGAGTCCGAGCCAATGCTCGTCGGCAGTCCTCCAGACTTCTGCAAACTCCTCAGCAGAACTCAGAGCTGAAGAGAGCTGAAGAGAGCTGAAGAGAGCTGAAGAGAGCTGAAGAGAGCTGAAGAGAGCTGAAAACAGATGGAGGGGCTCTTTTTGGGATGTCCCTTGGGGTTTTCTCCCGACTCTCTCTCTTTTGACCCCCGAGCTCTCTCTCCTCGGCCGTGAGATTCCGTGCCACGAAGCGGTGGGCCGGGTGGAAGAGTCCGGTCTCCGCCAGCTGATGGAAGACGACTTCGATGCGCCGTCCCGTGAGGATCGCAGCCGGCACGAAGGGGCTGTGGAAATCCGTGGCGGAGGTGCGATCGCGGAGGCACACGCCCCTCAGCTCCAGAATCGACCTCTGCAGCTCCCCAGCTCCCTGAAAAATCCGGCGCGCCTCGCTCTTATGCGGCGCGGGAGGCGCTCGGAACCTCTGAGCCTCGGCGCCTCGGCAGAGGTCCCGCGCCTCGCTGCAGAGGGTCTCCAGGGCTCCCGCCTCGCCTGCTTCCAGGACTCGGGGGACTTCGCCCAGCAGCTGGTTCCAGGAGTCGACCAAGGTGGCCTTTTTTAAAGTGTTTTTTTTTTTTGAGGGCTCTGAGGCTCGAAGATGGCTCGCATCATGGGGGGGGGTTTGGGAGGTTTTTTGGGGAGTCAGAAGTCTTAAGTAGGGTCAGAGGTACAGTAACTATACTCCTAGCCCTAGGGAACTTATAACCTGACGTGTAACTACCCATGAACCTCCGAGTACCCGCAATGCCTTTGGGCCAAGTTGCGTAGTGCTCCCTGAGGAGGACTTGCCGCTGCCCTCGGAGGGCCCGGAGCTCCCGCTGCACTTGGCGCTCCCTCCTCTTGGCCTGTTTGGAGGGCTAAACCCTAAACCCTAAACCCTAAACCCTAAGCCCTAAACCCTAAACCCTAAACCCTAAACCCTAAACCCATACATCGGAACCCCCTGGGATGGCCTCGGCCTCCTTCTTCGCCAAGGCCGCGGAGGCCTCGAGGACATGCTCCCTTGCACCTACTTGGAGGTTTAGGGTTTAGGGTTTAGGATTTAGGGTTTAGGGTTTAGGGTTTAGGGTTTAGGGTTTACGGTTTAGGGTTTCGGGTTTAGGGTTTAGGGTTTAGGGTTTAGGGTTTAAGTTCATGGTACTTATTCACCAATTATAACTGTACTTATGACCCACTTATAAGCCCCTTAAGTGCCCTAATATGGTTACAAGTATCGTTACAAGTACAGCTATAGTTGGTTCATAAGTACCATGAACCTCCAAGTAAGGGCACCGTTTTCACCCCTGTGTGATAATACGGGGTACCCGCCCCCCCCCCCCCCCCTTTTTTTTTTTTTTGGGGGGGGGGGGGGGGGGGGGGGGGGGGTGTTTTTTTAGGGGGGGGGGGTGTTTTATACTTCATAAAAGGGAACCTGGAAACAATAAAAAATTGGACAGAACAAAAAAAAAAACAGGGTAACACTGGCTAGCAAGGCACTGGAGGAGCCGGCGTCGGAGAGGTCCCAGGTGATGAAGTCCACGGCCGGGCCTTGAGCCAACAGAACGCCCGACACCGCGGCGAATCCCGGAACTTCGGCCTCCCAGGAGGAGATGTCCAGCATCTCCACGCAGCGAGGTTCGCGCGTGGCCATGAGGCAGATGAGGTACGCCACTGCCGGCACATGCTCTTCGGAGCACGTGCCTGGCATGCAGGCGCGGAGGCTGGGGATGCTGGAGTTGGCGCTCTGCGCCGCCCATTCTTCGAACGTCGCTTGGACGTCAGCCTGGTAAAACTTCAGCGAGACCTCAAAAACCGAAGAGAGAAATACGTTACACTTGGGCAACATGCGAATGCGTGGTCTCGTCGCCGATGCAACCAACATCTGCTCCGTACAGTCATCGCCAGCCACGCCGTAAAGGAGCAGCAGAAACAAGCGCAAGGAAGGCCAGGCCATTCTGCCCGTCAGAGGGGTCATGGCACTGTTAGCAGCTTCAGCACGAGTGCAAACTTGCCTGGAGCCCAGAGAGAAACTGCGGGACATCGAAGCCGAGACGCGCAAAGTCCCGGCCCGCCATGCGCGCCTGGCTTCTAAGCCCAAACATGAAGAACCTTCTTAAGTTTGGGTTTTTTTCTGAAGGCTTGTGGCTTTTAAGGCCAAGTCAAGCAACTAGTGTTTCTCTCAGCTGAGCATGCAGTGTAGGGTTTCGGGCTCGGGGCTCAGGGTTTAAAGGGTTTATAGGGTTCAGGCATGTTTAGGCTATAGGGCAATGGGGCTCACTGTTCAGGGCTTCGGGCTTATGAAGCCTTAGCATGTGTGGGGTTGCGGGGGGGGGGGGGGGTTCTCAGCGATATGCAAAAACTCGAGACCTGTGATTTCTCCCCCGCAATAACGCGCGGGCTCCGCTCTTTGAGGGCGCAGGTGTCTTCAAAGGGACTCCACGACCTGCGGCGCTCAGCAAAACATGGCAAAACAAAAGGCTCTCCTCGAAGGTTGAAGCATGAGGGCTAAGCGCTACAGGCTACAGCCTCGCCGGCACGTCCTGCGTCTGCCGCATGGCCTGGCGGATCGCGAAGTCCGCCATGATCTCCTCGCTGCCCCCCAAGATGGCCTGGAACTTGAAGCTCCTCTGGAACTTCTCGACGATGAAGCCCATGCCAGAGGAGGTGATGGCCCGGCCCCCGAAGATCTGGCAGGCGTTGTCGCTGACGATGGTGGCCACGCGCGTCTGCTTGTACTTGAGCAGGGCGATGGGCCCGGCAAGGTGCCGGTTGATGTCCTTGGTGCTCATGTTGTTCATCTGGTACGTCAGGTCTTCCAACAGGCTGTGCACCGACTCAATGTTTGCCGCCATCTCGGCGAGCTTGTAGCGGATCACGGGCTGCTGGATCAGCGCCTTCCCGAAGACCTTGCGGGACAGGGCCCACCTCATGCACTCGTCCAGGACCATGCGCGAGTGGCGATTGCCGCAGACCACCATGCCCCAACGCTCGAAGTTGAAGTTGGCCATGGTCTGTAAGAAGCCCATGCCCGGCTTGCCGATGAGGTTCCTGGCTGTATAGCGAGCCCAATCTATCAGGCACCCTTAGTTACAAGAAGGGAGGCACAGTTGTATCAGATAAGTCTTCTTGCCGATGAGGTTCTCGGGCGGCACGATGTTCTTGTAGATCTCCACGTAGGCAGTCGCGGCTGCCGGCGAGTAGGAGGTCTTGATTGGCTTCGTCGAGAGTGTCGAGCCATCGCCACGCTCCAGGAGCAGCATACATGGCCCCTGCTTTTCGGTCCGCACCAGCGTCGTGAAGTAGTCGGCCACCATGCCACCTGTGATCCACTTCTTAACGCCGTTGACCTGCCAAGAGCCATCTGTGGCCATCTCTGCCGTTGTACGAATCTGGGCCACGTCGCTGCCGGCGTAGGGCTCGGAGATGGCCAAGCAGATGCGCCTCTCACCTTTGATGATCGGCACGGCGTACTTTTCAATCATCTCCTTCGTGCCGAACTTCAGCAGTGGCGGGAGGCCGATGGAGACGCCTCCCAGGAGGCCGTCGCTGACACCGTAGCAGCCATTCACGCCGCGCCGCACCTCCTCATTCAGCACCAGCGCATGGAAGTAGTCCCACTCCTGGGCGCCGATGCCGCCCGGCAGCGAGATGCCGTGGCGCGCGAAGAGCTCCGCCGCGCCCTCCTCGCCCGCCACGAGCCCGGCGAAGATGCCCGATTTTCCAACCAGGGCATCGATCTCCCTGGTGGGCAAAGTGCCGTTGTCATCCCATTCCTTGCAGTGAGGCTTGATCTCCTTATCCATGAACTCGCGCACTGCCGCCCGCAACTTCTTGTGAGACTCCTTGTAGTAGGGTGAGAACTTACGCCAAGTTCCCATGGCCTCGCCATACGGGATCTGGGCTGCTGAAGCTGCCGAAGATGCCGAAGCCCGACCCTTCTTCTCGGGAGCGGAGACCACGCCGATCTTGAGGCGCGCGTACTTGGGCTCCTTGAGCACCGCGGCCCGGTGCAGGCCGAAGAAGAGCCTACACTCCCCTTAGAACCCTACAAAAAATTAGTATTATTCATAAATATCCTCTTGGGTTTTATATGAAAAAAATGGAAAAAAACTCCCAAGGGGGGATACAGGAGCTCGGTGGCGTCCTTTCCGGCGACGGTGGGGTCCAAGAGCGGCGGCAAACCACCCGGGTGCAGCGACCCGAACTTGGAGAGGTCGTAGACGTCCCCGTCGATGACCATCCACAAGTCACCCTCCCAGCAGTGCTTTGCCACCTCCTCCGGCGTGAAGGTCGCCGCCATGGCGCAAAATCCGCGGAGGGCCGCAGGACTCACGAGGTCAAGAAGCCAAAGAGCACATGGTACAGTATGCCGCTCAGGTTGTGTACGTCGAAAGCCGATGGGCTGAACAGAAGGTGTCTTAACTGGCCTGTCCTGTCCGGAAGCACACCTTCAGCGGGATCCCGCAGCTTTCCAACTTCGAACCAAAAGCTGCAGGATCACACAGATTCGACGGACCCAGCATACATCTTAAAAAATGAGCACGCTTGAAACGATCCATGTGGGAGCGTTCCCCCTGCGTTAGGACCCCGTCTCGGGGCTCCCCCAGTTTAAAGCGGAGCCCTATCATTTAGGGCCTCATGACTTGGATCAAACCCCACCCAGCCTAAGGACCTCCGGACCTATGGACATGGGCACTAGAACCCTAAACCCTAAATCCTAAACCCTAAACCCTAAACCCTAAAGCTCTCCTAAGCTCAGGAACTGCAAACGTATGCAATCAGAAACACCAAACCCGAACGAAATCCCCGAAACGCTTTGCTGCTGTGGTTTTGAGGGTTTTCGGGGTTTAAGGCCTCGTGATTCGGGCCTGTGGGGGCTATAAACCAACAACGAGGAAAAGAACTTTGCTTCCCGGTTTCCTTTGGGAAAAGGACCCACTTCCTTGAGATTGCGAAGTTCCTCAACCCTGCAAATTCCGGAAACCTCAACAAACCTTGAATCCCGCACTAGAATCACCCAAGCACATTCGGGATGGAGTCGAGGGCACACTTCAGTCTCCCAAAAAAGCCCCCATGAAACAGGGCAGCCCTGAAGGATGTTTTTGAAGAGCACCTGCGGCTTTGTCCCTTGCACCCTTGCCCCGCAATGATGCGGGCGAAGGACGTTCCAAGCACCCGGGGCTGGAGACTGTGGTGTGAGGGTGGGTCGGAGGAAGGACAACCCCAAAAATCCTACGAGGAACAGTCACACACTCCCAGGATCCAACTCTCCTCCATCATCCTATGCCCGAGGTCATCGCAACAACTTCCCTCCTTGGGTGTCAGGTTCAGGGCTAGGGACAAGCAGGTACCGGTCACCACGAAACCACTGAGTCTTTCATCACAAGCGGCGAGTGCAGCGGCTGAAGCGCAGGCGAAGCGCCGTTCGCAGGTATGGCCATCCCCGTTTAGGAGCCCGGATCTGGCAAAGACACCTGTAGCCCTATAGCCACTTTGAAGGCTAACGTGGAGAAAACCGGTTGATGCCCTTAGCTAACTATGTCAGGCTTCAGGCTCTTGGAAGAACTCCAAATCGGGGTTTCCCACAGAAGGGGTACTCCTAATATAGCCCCCAAAATATAGTAACCCCCCAAGAAGGGTACGCCTATTTTCGGAAATCCCCAAATGAAATCTTTTACCTGGGCTTCTTTTTCCGGCTGGTGGAGTACTGCAAGATGGGCATGATTTCGGCAGATAGGACTGCGTCTTCGAGTACTAGATTGGTTTAGGGTTTAGGGTTTAGGGCTTTAGGGTTAGGATTTAGGGTTCAGGGGTTAGGTTCTGGCAGCAAGCTTAAATTATGGACAAGAATGCCAGCGATTGACTTTTCTGATCACCTGATGCTCGAGCCCACGACTGGAACTGGAAGAGACAAAGTAACTATTAACCGCTCAACATCACTATACTGTAGCAAAAAAAACATGTTTGGCTGTTTCTTAGGAGCTATAGCACCCAAAAACTAACTACCCCCAGTATCCCTGAGATCATGGGATGTCAGGTGCTTGGAGTTTAGGGCTTCCCCGACCGCCTATTCGACTCTTCTACATCCCTTCCGCAGCCGTTTCAGGCCAATTCATGCTCAAACCTAGACACCCAAACCCGAACGGCCCTTAGAAGCCCTATACCAAAAACAACCAAACCCCAGACATGGAACCAGAGTACATCTTGGAACCCTAAACCCTGAATCCTCTTCTACCTGGTTACTGCCTTCGCCACAGGTATTTGTTCTTCTGCATTGCAACGACTCGCCATTTCATGCGGCGATGTCATGCCCATGACGAAGGCTACGGCCATCGTCATTTGAACGGCAGGTGCAACGACATGGGGTGCAAGGAAAACCACCTTTGGGAAAAAACCTTGCAAGGAACTGGGCGGAGCCGTCGTGTGTAGCACGCCTGAAATAGACGCCATTCGTGTCTCTCAGGGGCGTCTTGAGTTTCACTTGGGCATGCAATTGAGAGCACTTGAGAGCAATTGAGAGCAATTGAGTGGTTCCTCAATCGCGTTGCTGCTGTGGAGAGGTACTACTTGTGAGGGCGGCGCTACAAAAACCCTCCGAGGCCTGACTCTTCAATTGGGGGCCCCTTTTGTGGTTGCGTGGGAGTGCCGGTACAGGGGGCTAGACTCTCCGGACTGCGGATTCCGCGCCACTAGCACTCCACCTGTCTTCACAGCAGCAGTGGCCAGGACGTCGCCTTATAGGCGCATCAGGATAGCTCAACTTGCTCGAGGCCGCTGGCAGCAAGGACCATACCAGCCTTGGGCGCTCAACTGGCTTCAAGCCTCTGTTTTCAACCTGGGGGTTTATGCAAAGAGGGGGGGCGGGGGGGTTCTCATTCTAGGGTCCAAAGAAGGGGGTGCCCCCTACCTTTGGGGAAATACCCACCTCTGTCTCCCTCAGAGGTCTACTCAAGCATGGCCCACCACTTAAACCCTAAACCCTAAACCCTAAACCCTAAACCCTAGAAGTCGAATCTGGGCCTTGACGCTGAAGCGGATCGAAGATGATCGAGGGAGCCCCGAGTCGATTGGGAGGTGAGTAAGATGCGGTCTCCAGCTTGGCTAGGACATGCAAAGCTGCATCTAACAGGTTTAGGGTTTAGGGTTTAGGGTTTAGGGTTTAGGGTTTAGGGTTTAGGGTTTAGGGTTTAGGGTTGAGGGTTTAGGGTTTAGGGTTTAGGGTTCAGTCCTCAAAACCTGATAAACCTTCATCCGCCTGAACTGAAGCCGCGCGACGTCCCCAATTTCATCGTGGGCAGCGTGCTCAGCGCTCTCAGCCACAATCGCCTCGTCACGTAAGCGCTCCGCAGCCCGCTTTCACGCTAACCCCCACAAGAGACTCCATGCCTAAAGCCTTATAAGCTGCTGTATGCTTGAAGCCTGTAAACCCTGAACCCTCATCCCTAAACCCTAAACCCTAAACCCTAAACCCTAAACCCTAAACCCTAAACCCTATGAGGCTGGGGTCTGAGACTCCCGCAGCTCCTGCTGCTTCAAAAGCTCAGCGGCACTGTGAGGGCTTGGGGCTTCGGGTTGTCTGGGACGACCTGCGCTGATGATAAGACACAAAGCACTCCCAGTCAGCGTGTGCACATACATATGTATGTATACATATATGGATATATATATATATACATATATATATACATATATATCACGAGAATAAGCAATAGGAAAAAATGATTCTAAGGAATCCCGCACACAAAGGGCCCTAATGAATCTAGACCACAAAACCCCCAAAACCCGAAGCCCACACAGCCCCAAAAGCCCTTTGTTGCTCCCTAAACCCTAAACCCTAAACCCTAAACCCGAAACCCCAAACCCCAAACCCTAAACCCTAAACCTTAAGCCCTAAACCCTAAAAGCCCTCTGTTGGCCTGAGGCAAACCACGCTGAAAGAGCATGACCGCCTCCTGCACCAGATGGAGCGCCTCGCAAGTCCCCCTCGAAACCCGGACACCAAAATGCCCAGAGGGTTTAGGGTTTAGGGTTTAGGGTTTAGGGTTTAGGGTTTAGGGTTTAGGGTTTAGGGTTTAGGGTTTAGGGTTTAGGGTTTAGGGTTTAGGGTTTAGGGTTTAGGGTTTAGGGTTTAGGGTTTAGGGGGAGCTGAAATGCTACATCTGCAAACGAGCCTTGACACAGGGGGGGTTGCGAGTCTAGATGCTTATCGTGCTTCTGTTAGGGCCTTTGAGGGGGTTGGGGTGATGTCGGAAGGGATATGGCAGCCCCGCTACGCAGCGCCTACCAGCCAAGCAGGCACATCTGCTCCTTCTCAAAGATTTAAGCCCCGGCTTCTTTAGCAAGTTAATCAACCCCTGGGTTCAAGGGTTTGCAAGAACTAATTTTAGGCATCACGGTTTAAGGCATTCTCCGCAAGTTAACCAACCCCCGTGAGCCCTAGACCCGAAGCGCCCTCCAAACATAAAGACCAAACTCACAAAGCGCGGCTTCAATTTCCAAATGGTTTTGGGCTCAAGGGTTTGCAGGGTTGGGGTTCTTCATTCAGGGTTTAAGGCAGTTTAAGGCATTCCCCGTGTATCGGCTCTGGGATCAGATTCACTACTACTTCAGAATTTGGGGCGGGGGGGGGGCGGGGGGCGTGGGGGGGGGGAGGGGAAAGGAGGCATCTGGCGCGTGGTACGCGCCCTGACGACACGATGAGGAGGAATGCAGAGAGCCCGCCAATCCCTTCTTTCCCGCTCTGCGAAGCACACCAGGGGCCACGCCCCCCAATTCCCACCGTTGCAAATCCTCCCCGGTGCTTGGTAGGGAACGAGGGAAGTAGGGCCCTCTAAAAACCTCATTCCCTCATTCCCTACTAAGAACCAGCCAGAATCTGAAAGACAGAGCTGGGCGGGCTGTGACGTGCCTCCAGTTCACGGCAAAATGCCGGTGCACAGCCCTAAAGATGCACATCAGGGGTTTTTGGGCCTGAAACTGAACGCAGCCGTGTGAACTCCTGGCCTGGAAGGCGATCCGACTCTCCAGAGGCTCCAATTTCGTTTGGGGTTGAAAGGGGTCGGGTTGAGGCGTTAGTAAGGTTTGGGATACCTCCCTGGGCCTATCCAGGCCCCTTCCCTACAGAGTCCCCACCTCTGCTCCATGTCCATTTCGTATGCTTGAGACGAGATTCTGGAAGACAAATGCCGTCTAGATGTAAGACTATGAGCAAATTGGCATAGCAGTCCTTTGACGCTAACTGGGAAATGGCAGGCTTTAGTCACCTTCAGTCGCCTCAGAAACGAATGCGAGCTCTTGCTGGCCTGGGAGCGTAGAGGCTCTTGGATTTCCTTTGTCAAGGCGACTGGAAGCTTTTCTTATCCCTGGAGTTGCTTCTGGAGGTGAGACATGGATCCTGGAAGCAGGTCGTGCCCAAAGTTGACGCAAACCGCAACTATCCCTGCACTCCTGACCCCAAGCGAAGTGCTTTACCTCAAAAAACCTCAGCATCTACAGCCGCAAAATACCTGAGAGCCTGTCGCAAGAGCCTTAGCACCGCGGCACCTAAACCCTAAACCCTAAACCCTAACCCCTAAACCCTAAACCCCTATACCTGACTATACCCTGAAGCCAGGCTGACCCGGTGCCTGCCTCGGTAGAGACCATCTGGCGCAGGCGGGTCAGCGCGCGCGCCAGGTCCTGTGTCCGAAGCGTCGACTCCTAGCTCGAAGCCTTAATTGCTGACGCCGTTGACTCCAAAAAACGCCGCAAACCCCCAAAAACTCGAGCTACACACCCCTGAACCCGAAACAGCCGTCAACCCAATCCCGGAACACCCACGCCCTGAACCCCAATCCCTAGCCCTGAGTCCTTGGCCCTACCCTAGAAACCCTGAAGGCCCTGAAAGCCTAAACCCTTTGAACCCCTGCATCAGCAAACGGCTTCTCTCCCGCCTCGGGGCTACAGTTGTTTGAGCCCGGTTTCTTGGCGAGGGATCGGAGCTTTCTCAGCCAGACCTGGCATGCACAGCTGGGATGCGGAGGATTTGAATAATCAGGACTGAGGGCTTACTCGGATGGCCCTTAAAACGGAGCCAGGGTTTTTTTGGGTGTTTTTTTTGGTTTTCTTTGGGTATGTTTTTGGGTTTAGGGTTTAGGGTTTAGGGTTTAGGGGTTAGGGTTTAGGGTTCAGGGTTTAAAGGTTTAAGGGTTTAAGGGTTTAAGGGTTTAAGGGTTTTAGGGTTTTAGGGTTTTAGGGTTTTAGGGTTTTAGGGTTTTAGGGTTTTAGGGTTTTAGGGTTTTAGGGTTTTAGGGTTTTAGGGTTTTAGGGTTTTAGGGTTTTAGGGTTTTAGGGTTTGGGGTTTAGGGTTTAGGGCTTAGGGCTTAGGGTTTAGGATTTAGGGTTTAGGGTTTAGGGTTTGGGGTTTAGGGTTTTTTCAAAACCAAAAAAAAAAGCCCCAAAAAAACCAAAAAATATACCCAAAAGAACCCCCACCCCCTTAAAACCCTTTGAAAATATTCTGGATATATGACCTTCTTAAACCCAATAAGGGAAAATACAAAATGTCCCAAGGGCCTGCCTGGCTTATAGGTTCTTGGTGACTATTCCGGCCCCTTATTTTGCACACAAGGGGGCCCTCATTTGGAACATTGCACACAAGATGGGAGCGACAAAGGGGCTGGGGGCAACGGGTCATGCGTCGGACCCAAGGCCAAACGCACATCCTCCCTAAACCCTAAACCCTAAACCCCAAACCCTAAACCCCAAACCCTAAACCCCAAACCCTAAACCCTAAACCCTAAACCCCTTGGGCAGCTCCACCTCGGCCATGCGACTCTTGACGATGAGGTGGGGAAGGCTCCTTTCATCCGGACTGCAGAAAAATAGGGAGGCTCCAAAAGTCCTCTTGATTAGGGTTTAGGGTTTAGGGTTTAGGGTTTGGGGTTTAGGGTTTAGGGTTTGGGGTTTAGGGTTTAGGGTTTAGGGTTTAGGGTTTTTAGGGTTTAGGGTTTAGGGTTAGGGGTTGAAACCTTTAGGATTTGGGCACTGATGGTTGGAGCTGGTTCGTTTGGGGTTTAGGCCTTAGGGTTGAAGGGTTGCTCAACACAGCCTCTAATCGGCTCTGCAAGGGGCCCTCGTAAGGTTCAGGTATCATCGGTAGTACCTCATCATGCCGTGCTCGTGCTCGTACTCAAAGCGTCGCCAAACCTGCTCGTGCTACACCTTCGGACCCAAAGGTGGCTGCGGACTTCGATAAGCGCAAGCACCGATGGAGTGCTCACACCTCCCTCAACAAGTGCCCCAAGTGCTAGCAAGCAGAATTAAGGAGCCTGAAGCCCCTGAAATCATTGGAAAAAACATGATCCCTCCAGAGTCCCATTTTATAGAACTACACAACGCCTAGAACCGATGTCCCAAACCTTCGCCCAGCTCACCCGACAGCCCTGTCGCCGTCTCCTCTGGCAGGTTGCCAGGGCACAGAGCACGGGCATTCCCGGCAACTTCGTCTGATTCGCCTGCGAAAGCTCTCCGTTTCGCATTCTCTGGAGGTCGGAGTTGGTTTTTTCGACAAGGGCGTGCAGGGCCGCAATGTGACCAGTCTCCCTCAGCCCTCTTCCTGGACCATAGGCGCCCCATAGAAGCCCTAGGATGAGGAGGTTTGCAAGCCCTAGGAGCCCTGTAGGGCGGTAGAATTCAGCGCCCGGCGCCCGAAATTGCTGTGGCACGTGCTTGTTGTGAGCGTGGTTGGGGCTTCGGCAGGGGGTAAGGCCCCCCGTTCCTGGGCTTTGGCGGGGAATGATGCTGCCAACTTTCTGCATCTGATGGTATCTTATGGTATATCATGGTATATTGTTGAAGTTTCATATGACATTTATGGTATATTATAGCCCCCAGAAACCTGTGTGCAAAGCGGGTGTTTCAAACCCTGCAGGGCTCACCGCGCCTATTGGGCTTAGTTTAGGATTTGGGCTGCCCACCTCAGCCAGAAAGGTGTGGAACTCTTCCATCACCTGGGGCTCACCGGCTTAGGGCCTCCTTGGACCCTCTTCATCGTTCCTGAAACCCGAAGCCCTTGGGGTCCCTGCGGTTTAGGGTTTAGGGTTTAGGGTTTAGGGTTTAGGGTTTAGGGTTTAGGGTTTAGGGTTTAGGGTTTAGGGTTTAGGGTTTAGGGTTTAGGGTTTAGGGTTTAGGGTGGCTTAACCCTAAAACCCTAAACCTCGGGAGAGTGCTTGCGGAGCCTCTAGGTGGGAAGAGCGAAAAGAACTGCAGGAAGAAGCACACCGACTCACGGCCACAATGACCACAGTGCTTCCGCTTGGTCTTGAGAGTTTTTCGCAGCGGAGGTTTTCAGTTACCCAGCTGCGCCCCTCCTCATCCTCTCCAGTGACTGGACATCAGGGATGCTCTAGGCTCACTCAGGACAGCAATACGCTTCAACCCTAAACACCCCGAAGCCCCAATTCCCTAAAACCTACAACGCTAAAACGCTAAAGATCCTTAAAACCGGGGGAACCCTAAACCCAAACCCTAAACCCGAAACTCTAGAACCCCGAAACCCTAAAACCCAGACCCTAAATCGGACCGCAGACTGTTCCGCAAGGCTGGCTTCAGAGAGACTGGACCCCGGAACAGGCGCAGCTGTCCCTATACTCCCAGCAGCCTCAACCCTACACTCTACATCCTAAGCCCCAAAAGCTCTATGCCCTTTCGACCGCCACCCTGCAAGCCTAAAACCCTAAACTCTGCCCCCCAAACCCTGAACCCTAAAACCTAAACCCTAAACCCTAAAACCCTAAACCCTAAACCCCAAACCCTAAACCCTAAACCCTAAACCTTACACCCTTAACCCTAAACCCCAAACCCTAAACCCCAAACCCTGAAGTCGGTGCCTTCAGGAGGATCGCTTGTTGGAAGGAGGGTCCGAAGCGGAGGAGGAAGCCCCAGAGGCGCCGGAGGCCTCAGAGGCCCCCAGGAAATCCCCCCGAAGAAAGGCTATGCTCCCCTTTTGGGGCCTTTAGACAAAGAGTATTTCTTAATACCCTCTTGGGAATGTATATGTATATATATATATATGTATATGTATAAACAAAAATATAAAAATGATTCCCAAGGGGTATAGAAGAGGAGACAAGCTGAGGGTTTGGGATGTTTGGGGCCTGGGGTTTAGGGTTTGGGGTTTCTAGGGTTTGGGGCTTTTAGGGCTTAGGGCTTAGGGTTTAGGGTTTAGGGCTTGGTATGGGACGTTTGGGGTGAAGGGTTTGGGGCTTAGGGTTCCGGAGTTTCGGGTGTCCCACCCAAATTGAGACCTTGGCGGGTTTGGGGTTTTTCTACAACCCAACCCCCCGAATGAGCCAGGGGGGGAGGTATGGTTGTGACGAGCATGCGGCGGCAAAATCGGCAGGCTCAAGTAGACTCCCCTAAACCCTAAACCCTAAACCCTGAACCCTAAACCCTAAACCCTAAACCCTAAACCCTAAACCCTAAACCCTAAACCCTAAACCCTAAACCCCATGCCTTCGAAGGCTTTAGGAGGACCGGTTCGAGCCGAGTCAGCAATGGCGGGCTCGACTCGATTCCAGCTTACCAAGATTTGCCACAAATGGGGGGTCGTTTCAGAAGTGAACTATCAACGGAAATGTTTCAAAAAGGAACCAGCAGCAGAACTTACAGAGCACAGGCGAGGTACGAGGCCGGCAGCAGTCAGGACGACGGGAAGAAGGCCACGACAAGGGCAGGGAGAGGCCGGGAAGATGCCAGCAAGGGCTGTGGGAGCAAACATGGTCCCACGTTCTTGAAACGCTTCTTGTTTTGTGTTGTTTTGTGGAATATGTTGAGCCTTTCCGGAGCCTCTGGCCCCAGAAGAGCCCTTGGGTTTAGGGTTTACTCGGTGGGAGAAACCGCCGAGCTGCGGGAAACCTCCGCCCAACGTGGAGGCCGCACAGTCACCACTTCGCTCTCCTGAATCTCAGGGCTGAGTGAGTTCAGTGAGTTCCCAAAGAGCCCCAATACCCCTTAATTGAGGAACTTACCGGAACTGATATAGGAATCCTTAATCTAATTTAAGGCATACTACGGGATGTTCCTTAATTGCGAGGTCTTGGGCTCTTTGAGTCTTGCCCAAAACCCTCAACCCTAACGTTGCACCCGCTTTAGTAGGGGCCCTCCTATAGAGCGCTTGTTGGGCTATTCAGGACCGCGTGGCTGTTTGTGGGTGCCAGGTGGGACCCCTAAACCCTAAACCCTAAACCCTAAACCCTAAACCCTAAACCCTAAACCCTCTCAAGTCAAGTCTTCCGGGTGTCGTACATCTATTTCGCGTGTGGCACCTTTGCCCCGACCGTCCAGGGTGTTCTTAAAGAGGGTGCAGCATACAACCCTGGGTTGACTGAATCCTAGCATCAAGGGGCTAAAGGAGGGATCCTTGCAAGGTACCTCAGGGGTTACATAAGGGGTTCTTTGGGGGCTACTTAGGTATTTTGGGACTAGAAAACCCCCCAAAAAACTGTGCCACATCCTTGCCCGAAGTAAACCCTAAACCCTCAACCCTAAGCCTTCGACCCTAAACCCTGAATCCTAAACCCTAAACCCTAAACCCTAAATCGCTTGTGGCCTATTCAAAAGGCTTTGGGCAGGTGCGAGGTTCGAAGGACCATTCCACCAGCATCTTCTCGGTGTCTGCCTGCTGCACCACCTTGATCTTTGTGGACGGGTCTGTGCTGCGATTTACGGCTTGGGACTTTCAGGCTCCGGGCTAAGTTTAGGATTTTATCTAAGTGTTCCGGATGGGGCGTCGGGGTTCATTGGGCGCTGGTTTTGCGGGATATTCGCCCTCTGGCTCAGCTTTGACGCGTGTGCTCGTGCGGTGGAGTTGCAGGATCTCGCTTCTGGACTCACCCCGGTTTGCGACTGCTTGCTGAAGAACCCGCAAAAAGTAGAAGTATTCTTCCCTATAACGGCAATAAGGGGATTACATATCTTTCTTCTCTGGGGGTCTCTTAAGCAAATAGTAGCTTGCTGCGGCTCGCAGGTGTGGCTTTTTAGGCCGTCACGACCCGGAATGGTCGAGGAGGAATTGGGACGCGATTCGCGTGTGTGTTGACGGCTTAGGGTTTAGGGTTTAGGGTTTAGGGTTTAGGGTTTAGGGTTTAGGGTTTAGGGTTTAGGGTTTAGGGTTTAGGGTTTAGGGTTTAGGGTGGATGATTTAGGGTTTAGGGTTTAGGGTTTAGGGTTTAGGGTTTAGGGTTTAGGGTTTAGGGTTTAGGGTTTAGGGTTTAGGGTTTAGGGTTTAGGGGGTTAGGGTTTAGGGCTTAGGGTTTAGGGTTTAGGATTTAGGGTTTAGGGTTTAGGGTTTAGGGGACAGCTTACAGGTACGTGCAGTTATGCGGGCTGCATTACACTCGGGCGCGACAGGACGCGTAGCAAGATTTGGGGAACCTTCCACGACTAGCTCTAGAGCTTGCAGGTTACAGGGCCTTGTATGGGCTAGCTGGCAAGTAACATTGCGCATGTTCTGCATGTGAACACAACCTGCCATGTTGCGAAATGACGCCACGTTTCCGCGGTACTTACTGTCATGCTCGCTACCGCATACAGGGTGCCAGATTTTGAGTGCACCCTGGCAAAAGTATCGCCGGAGGACGAGATTTCACAAATAAGCACCCCTTCCCCCAAAAAACAACCCAGCCTGAACCACAAAAAGACCCGTAATGGCTGCACAGACAAGCAGTCACCCTGCATTACCAAACTTGGAACATGGAAACCAAAAAAGCAAGTAAAATCTTTCCGGACACCACACGATACATCTACAAAAGGTGGACCATGAAGCATGGGGATTCTCCCAAAGCACTTTGCGGCCACGTTTGGGGCCTCCAGCTTAACATGTTAAACTCTCACAAGGACACCCCCCCCCAAATGGAGCTTAGTCTTGGGATAATCTTGGGAAACCCTCTGGGAGGATCCCAAAAGTACACCAAGTAGTACCCTATACTACTATTGGGTCATTCTTAGGAATTTGAGGGGATCTACTTTTGAATTCCTTTCCGGGGTCTGGGAGGGAAATCCCCTTTCAACGGCCGCCGAGCATCCTTCAGCGCGCGATTGACGCTGGCCCGTCGCACGTTATCTCACAGGATGGCCCACAGTTTTGGGGCTCAGAGGGACTCAGAGGGGGACTCAGGGGGACTCAGAGGGACTGAGAGACTCAGAGGGACTCAGAGGGACTGAGAGGGATTCAGGGGGGACTCACGGCCCGGGAGGTTCAGAAGGTTCAGGGGGTTCAGGGTTCAAGGGGTTCAGGGGTACAGGGGGTTCAGGCTTCAGGCTTCAGGCTTCAGGGTTCAGGGTATAAGGTTTCGGGCTTAGGGTTTGCGAGGGGCGGAATTGACATTCCCGGCCGAGGGCTTCAAGCTCAGGGTCGAAAGGGCGGGTAGGACTTTCCATGAAGCTGCTCATCCACTTATATGGTTTTTCTGTAGCTTTCAACCCCCCATTTGGGGCTTAAGTTGGGATGTTGCCCCTTTGACTAACACTCCTTGATAGGGATTCGAGTTACCCCCCTATTAGTATCCCTGTTCACGATTGCTAGTATAGGGAGGAACATCCCAAGGCTTGAGGATATGTAGGGCCTAGGCAAGGTCAGCTTCTTTTTTGGGATGTTCAGAGGTGGAAGGATCCCTGCAACAGGGTCATCGTGCCGACTCTGTGTTGATAAGAAGCCATGGGCACCCACGGCAGACCTCTGCACATCACCCGCATCGACGCCCTGAAGCCCCGAAACCCCCCTCGAACACTTGCCCCTTGCATGTTCGAAACCCTCCTGCTACCCAACCCAGAGACTCCAAAACCCCTTAATTAAGGAATATACCTTAAATTATAATATGATTTAAGGTATATTCCTTAATTAAGGGGTTTTGGAGTCTCCGGGTATACGCCTAGACCCCTAACCCTGTCTTCCTGGTCCCCCCTACCACAAAACTGTGGAGGTCGACGTCGGCCGGGGATAAGGAAACCACTCCATTCCACGACCTCCCCGGCAGGAGCCCTTCCTCAATAGAGTTCCGTCACTTCCCTTTTTCTTGGCATCCATTTGTAGTCTAGTCCTGATTACTTCCACTGCAAGGTGCCCCAAAGAAGGACCCAGGGGAAGAACAATCCCCATCTCGTTCGAACCTCCGGAACACGCTTGGGCAACCCCCGAGAGCCTAGCAGCACCAAAAAGCGGTGGCCCTTCTTCGGGCGTGACCTGGGAAGATCCGTGTGGTCTTTGGGGAGACATTTAGGCTGTGGTGGATTCCTTTGAGGAGCCGTTTTGTCTTCTCGCTACAAGAATATTATGGTTCATACCTGGCTACCTGCCGGAGCCCTCAACTCCAGGCCCCCAGGCGGCAACCTAGCTCCAGAGCTGTGAGAAGACAGCAGAAGAATCATGCATTCGTTTTATCCGTATCTGTCCTTACCGACTGACCTGAACCTATGCAGTTCCTGCCTATTTACTTGCACGCATTCTGAGTCTGCAAGTTGCATAGTCCCTTGGGTTACACAGGTCTTCGGTAAGGCTCGCAAACATGTTCACCCTGCACGCGGGATTCTCCCATCCAGCCAGGAGGAAGGAACCATATTGAATCGCAGTTTCAGCGTGCGCTGCCAAGGCTCTCGCAGGCTTCTAGACAAGAAAGCTCCCTTCTCGCTCTCTCCCTCTCCCTCTCTCTCTCCCGCTCTCTCTCTCTCTCTCTCTCTTGCTCTCTCTGTCTTTCTCTTTCCCTGTCATGAACCCTAAGCCCTGGAACCTCGACCAAAGACCTGAACCAAAGATCTCCGAATCCCCAGGCCAGGTGCTTGGATGAATCACGCAGGAACTGCGCAAGGGCATGGATCATCAGGTAGAGGCAGGCAAGGGCGATCATGGCAAACCTTGGTTTAGGGTTTAGGGTTTAGGGTTTAGAGTTTAGGGTTTAGGGTTTAGGGTTTAGGGTTTAGGGTTTAGGGTTTAGGGTTTAGGGTTTAGGGTTTAGGGTTTAGGGTTTAGGGTTTTCAATGCTCTTACCTTTCTGCTTTCAGTTTGCTCTTGTTGGGCAATATATACGATATGCTTTTAACAATCCCAGCTCTGGTGTTCTTGATATCATGCGGATGTGTTGTTGAGACTAACCCTAAACCCTAAACCCTAAACCCTAAACCCTAAATCCTAAACCCTAAACCCTAAACCCTTTAATTCTAGCTGTGAGGTTCGGAAAAGGTTGAGTAGGTCTTCAAGGCTCTGGGCCCTGAACCCTGGGGTTGATCTTCAGCCTTGGGGTGTTGCATTCGTGTAGGGCTTAGGGTTTAGGGTTTAGGGTTTAGGGTTTAGGGTTTAGGGTTTAGGGTTTAGGGGTGAGGGGTTGAGGGTTTAGGGGTTGAGGGTTTAGCGGTTGAGGGCTGAAGGTTTTCAGCTGCTGCAGCCTTCAACTTCTGGCCGAATTGTAACCTCGGGATAGGCTGAAGGCCTGAAGCCTTAACCCTGAAGCCAAAGCTTAACCCCTTAAACCCCTTAAACCCAACCCCCTTAACCCCCTCAAACCTCCTCAAACCCCCTTAAACCCCCTTAAACCCCCTTAAACCCCCTTAAACCCCTTAAACCCTTGAAACCTCCTCAAACACCCTTAAACCCCTCATTACACCCGAAACAAACCGGCTTGCGTTCCAGTACCCTCGAAAAGGATCTCCGAGGAACAGCCCGACGGCGATGCTGTGCGTCGCCACCGGTGGAGGGTTCCTCGCTTCTCAAGGTTTTCGCGTTTAGGGTTTAGGATTTAGGGTTCAGGGTTTAGGGTTTAGCCAAGGGCTTCTTGCAAACCAGCTCCAAGGATTCGCATCTGCATGGCTTAGGGTTGAGGGCAAATTTTGTGGTTGTCTATTTGGTCCCTCCCACCGCCAGCCATTACTGGCTGCAAGTCATTGCAAAGATTTACGAGGGAACCGCCTCGGTGTTCCTGAAAAGAAGCTCCTATGGCAAACGAGCTTAGGATGGCAAACAGAATGGGGCTGCCTGTGGAAAGTCTGAAATGTGTTGCACAAGCCCATTGCAGAAATGCAGCAAAAAACGTAGCACAACAACCAAGTGCTGACGACCCTAAACCCTAAACCTCAAGCCACCAAGACCAAGTGCTAAGGATATCCCAGGATCAGCATGAGCATCGCGGCAATCGAGCTGAAAAGGAAGAAGCGCACACTGCACAGCATCACCTCATAGGCGTTGTGCCCAAAGAAATGTGGGCAGGCTTAGGGGTCAGGGCATTACGGTTTCGGATACAGGCTTAAGCATATACATATATACGTACGTACATATATAGGTACATATATGTATACTAGAACGGATGCGTGTATATATATATATATGTATACGCATGTTTGGACCTGTATATATCTTATTTGACGGGAGGGCTTTGCAATCATCGGAATAAACCCAGAAAAACACCGACAGCTCTTTACAATGAAGACGAAAATGACGCGCAAGAGTCCCTGTATGTCTGTGGCCACTCCAACACAGATATCATCCAGGGCAGATCGAGGCCACATGCACCAGTGATGGGGACACGGGCGCACCCCCACCCTAGATCTTTCAAAACATTCGGTTGCCTAAGGCTTCTACCTCGGGGGTGTAAACTCAACTTCCAGTCCGACCTTGTACTCTGAAGCCTGAATCCTAACCACCCTAAACCTTAAACCCTAACCCCTAAACCCTCAACCCTAAACCCTAAACCCTAAACCCTAAATCCTAAACCCTAAACCCTCAACCCTCAACCCTAAACCCTAACCAGCTCCAAACCTTTCTTCATGGCCTCGAGGACATCAAGCAGCTGCGCTTGGTCGTTGGCGAACGGCCTGACCCAAGCTGCTGTGGCGAGCTGCACGCCTTCAGAGAGGCGTCAAGCTTTGTGGGGGTTGGGGTTGAGGCTATTTAGGGGCTTTAGGGGCTTCAGGGGCTTTAGGGGTTTAGGGTTTGGGGTTTGGGGTTTGGGGTTTGGGGCTTCGGGTTTGGGGTTTTGAGTTTGTGGGGATTGGGGGGCTGTGCTTCTTGCGGCTTCAAGGGGCTGAAGGCTTACCCCTCTCTGGCTCAAGTCTCTGCATCCCCTTAAACCTCAAAATCCAAAGCCCCTCCCCTCTCGCAAGGAGCCCTTGGACGCTGGACCCTAGACCCTAAAACCTGGTTCCCTCAACTGAACTAGCCCTAAACCCCAAACCCTAAACCCCAAACCCTCGACCCCAAACCCTAAACCCCAAATCCTAAATCCTAAACCCAAGGAGCCTGAGATCACCGGGAAGAGCAGCAGCTTCGCCTCGAAGGCCTCCACGATGGAGGTGTAGGTGATGGTCATCATCCTCGGAGAGGGCCCTTCTACAGGATTTGGGGTTTAGGGTTTAGGGTTTAGGGTTTAGGGTTTAGGGTTTAGGGTTTAGGGTTTAGGGTTTAGGGTATAGGGTTTAGGGTTTAGGGTTCAGGGTTGGAGAGGTTTTTCTCTCTGAGGGCTTGTAATTTGAGTCTTTTTCAACCCTTGGGGGGCCCCTTTATAGAGGTCTTTAGGGTTTAGGGTTTAGGGTTTCGGGTTTAGGGTTTCGGGTTTCGGGTTTCGGGTTTAGGGTTTAGGGTTTAGGGTCCTCAACGATTTGGGGGCTGGTTGGAAACACCAAATTTCGGGTTTAGGGTTTAGGGCTTGGGGTTTGGGGTTTGCCAAACCCCAAACCCTAAACCCTAAACCCTCGAAACCCTGGCTTGAGCTGCGGCCCAGAAGCAGGCCCACGTCGGCGTTCTTCACCAGCAGATCCCACCACCAGTACACCTGCACCATGAGACATTGGAGGCTCTGATTTTCAGGGTTTGGGTTTTCAGAAGGTGTTCACTGCTAACCCCTAAGAAAGGCCCTGAGCACCCAGCCGATACAAGTATCTACATTCCTTACAGGTCTGAGCTCCGAATGGTTACCTCGACAAGCCCGGGAAAAACCGTAAATACCGCAAAGGCCAGGCCAAGGGGCGGGCTCGAAACCCTGGATGAAGTAGCCGTACTGCCTGAAGTTGTCGGGCGCCTGCCTATCGCGCACGAAAGCCAGGCGGAGCGCCAACGCCAGCGGGGTGCCCAAACACCTTGGCTCTCAACTTTGAACCCTAGGTCCTACCCTATCCTACTTTCATTGCACACATGATCTGATATCAACGTTAGGGCTCACTCCAAGAGGTTCCGAGCTCTGGAAAAAGTCTGTCGTCGAAACTGCGAACAAGATGAGTATAGGGCTCATTGTCGCAGTCAGTCTTGCTGACAATGCGTTTCTGAATACGTACAATCAACAAAACAACAAAACCTCTGCACAGCCATACTACCGTGGGTTGTGGGTTGAGGGTATAGGCTTGAGAGATTCGTGGGAGGGTGTTGAGGGTCAGGGTTCGGGTTGCTCAGAGTTTCGGGTATAGGGTTCTCAGGGTTCAGAGTTTAGGGATTGGCCTGGAAGTTCAGGACTCAAAGGAGAGGTGCCAGATGATGAGGCCCGCGATGGCCAGCCACGCAGCAGGCGAATGATCCGGCGAACCGCACACAATGTCCGGAGAGGGCAGCAAGCCTTGGCAGAGAGACGAAAAATGAGGAAACCACGTACTTCGGACCCCAAGAATCAGACTCTGACATTGCCGCCCGAATTAGTAGTGGCAGTCGTTAGTGGACGCAGATGTAGTAGTAGTAGTAGCAGTAGTAGCAGTAGTAGTAGTAGTAGTAGTAGCAGTAGCAGTAACAGGAGCAGGAGCAGTAGGAGTGGGAGTGGTAGTGGTAGTGGTGGTGGCAGTAGTAGTAGTAGTAGTAGTAGTAGTAGTAGTAGTAGTAGTAGTAGAAGAAGAAGTAGAAGTAGTAGTAGCAGCAGTAGTGCCAGCTGCAGCTGCAGGGGACGACTCACAATCTGGTCGTCGCCCTCTGGAAGGGGCACGCACCACATCAGCTGAAGGAAGCCCGACAAGAGGCTTGGCCAAAGCGACACGAGGCTTACCTGACAGTTTAGGTTTTCAGCTTAGGGTAAGGAAACTCAATTTGAAATGTCACCTCAAGTTGAACGGGATTCCAGAAAAAAAAAAAAAAAGAGTTAGGCTGAAGTTCAGTTGCCCTAAACCTGCAGTGGTAGGTACCTTGCAGGGAACCCCACTGGGCAGCCTGCAAAAGGGGGCAGGCCGCCCACGGTTTACCTGCTCCCAAAATACCCCATATTTTCCCCTATAGCCCCACAGGAAGTGTATGGTTTTCCCTAAGAGGACGATTTCATTTCTTGGTGTTCAGCCAATTGGGCGTTCTCTTCACAAGAACCCAAGGCAGAGATCTCGATGAAGAGAACTCACCGAGAGAACGAACCAGGGAGTTCTTCGAAATGAGGAAGGTTTGCATGCAACCCTAAACCCTAAACCCTAAACCATAAACCCTAAACCCTAAACCCTAACCCTAAACCCTAAACAAGAATGAAGAAAGAAGAGGAACACAGCCAGAAGCACCCTGCCGCACCAGGGTGAACCCTGAAGAGGCCCACAAATACACATCATGCAGAATCTGGGTCCCCTAGACCCTGCACCCTCCACCCACGTTCTTCAATCCTCTTTCCTAAACCGCTCTAAACCCTAAACCCTAAACCCTAAAACCCTAAAACCCTAAACCCTAAACCCTAAACCCTAAACCCTAAACCCTAAACCCTAAACCCTAAACCCCATGCCATGACCCTTCCAACCCCTACCAGCCCACAGCAGCTCTCCCACTCAGAATTCTGGCCCCAGTCGCCCAAATGACCGGCAGGCTCTGAACGATCAGACTTCGAGGATCCGGCCAGGCGGTGAACAGGCCAAAGTCCAACGCGTCGAGGACCTCTGGGGGCACCCTCTGAGGGCTTCGAGCTTAGGGGTTTAGGGTTTCGGGTTCAAGGTTCGGGGGCGGTAGGGTTAGATGGTCTAGGCGTTGGCGCATGGCTCAACAAATCGTGGTTCGCTCTGATGCCTGCTATTGAGGAACAAGGTTGGCTAGTTCGTGAAACTTCCCGGCTCAAAAAAGGAGGCCTCCCACATCAAAGAGCCCTTGTCATCCAAAAATGCAAGCATGCCGCGATTAAACGCGCAAGAGTTCCCTAAAGCCCCGAGATTCCCAAAAAACATCAAAAAACCCTAAAGCTTAAATCGCCCGGGAAAAGCATTCTCATCGAGGGCGCCCAAAACTCGAGTGGGGTTTAGGGCCGTTTAGGGGTTCGGGTTGGCTCCTTGGCCTCTTGCCCTTGGGTTCTGGGATCTCAAGTTTGGGTGAAGGTTGGGGGGATCTCGAGGTCAAGGAGCCTCAGTGCGAGAACTGCAAAATGCTTTGTTTTGCGTGAGCGCCCCCTTACCTCGTCCACTTCGACGTCCTCGTCGGCCTCGTCATCGCTCCCTTCTGTGATGGGCCTGGTGTCACACTGCTCTACTCGGAGGAGTTGTTGGTTAGGAGCACGCCACAGTGAGGGGGTCAACCTGCGTGCCACGTCACCACCTGCCGTCTGAAGCTTGACCCCGGAACCCGGACTTTGAAAGCCGCTGAAGCCGTGCAAGTCCCAAGCATCCAAGACCTTCAACACCTCCAACACCCAACCAACACTTGGGCTTGAGGACTTCACTCCCCCTCCCCCTGACATCACACCCCCCTTCCTCAAGGAGGGTTTAGACTTAATATTAGTAACAGCAATAATATAAATAGTGGCAATGGATTATTTCCCCCAAAACCCTAAACCCGGAACCCTTTCTGCCCCAGAAAACTTTCCAACCGGCTCGAGCGTCTGCGCGGGAATCGAAGCCTGGCCCGTGCCGGCCTGCAACGCAGCCCCGTTCGCTTCGGAGGAGTAGGTTCAGGGTGTCTTGGGTTTAGGGTTTAGGGTTTCGGGTTCAGGTGAGGCATCAGAAAGGGAAACTAGAAGGGGCAACCACGAACAAGAAAAAATGCACGGCTTCAGAATCTGCTCTGTCAGCTCGCTGAGGAGCCACGGCTCACGTTTTGGAGCATTGCGCTCACAGACGAAGCGGGTAGTGTAAACTTGAAAACCCTAGACCCTGAACCCTGAACCCCACGGTGCCTCTCTCCAAGGCCTCTGGCCTTTTTGAACCCCTTCTTTTGAACCTCGTGGTCTGACGAAATCGGATAGGAACCCAGACCTAAATGCCTCTTGCTGATGTCCCCTATGCCCCTTGAAACCCTCATGGCTGCGATCAAAGCCCCTCTACTTCTGGGCTTTGGACTTGGTGAACGTCAGGATTACATTGGAGCCTGTGGTTTTAGGGTTTAGAGTTTGGAGGTGAGGGGTTGGGGTTTGGGGTTTGGGGTTTGGGGTTTAGGGTTTAGGGCCTATCACCTGCGAGTCTTGCCATGTTTTGGGCAACGTGGAGAGAGAGAGAGAGGTCTTTTTCGCTTCTTTTCGATCTTGGTCTTGCTAGACATGGGGGACCGTCGGGGGAGAATAGCTTGTCGAATCGAGTGCATTTCGATTTGCTTGAGGAAGCCAACTCCCAACCCTGTCCCCAAGCCCACGGGCTCATGCTTCTTGCCTGATGCGGCTCAGACTCTTTTCAGTGGCTTACACGGTTTAGGGTCTTTAAAGTGGTATGATGAGAGATTTGGGATGTTTCCCCGTTATACAAGCAGTCCGTAAGAGGGATTCTAGCACCCCTATGATAATCCGGAACAAGGACTGCTGGTTCTAGGGAGGAACATCCCAAGGTATGATAAAAGATGATTCAACCCTAAACCCTAAACCCTAAACCCCAATGATTCAACCACGCCTCGCTGTCTCCTCCAGCTTCCGCGAAAGAAATCCCGGCCTCCTTGCGCCGGGCATCATGAAAGACTGCGAACCCATTAGGGTGCAGGGTTTTGGGTTTTGGGTTTTGGGTTTAGGGTTTAGGGTTTAGGGTTTAGGGTTTCGGGTTTCGGGTTTCGGGTTTCGGGTTTCGGGTTTAGGGTTTAGGGTTTAGGGTTTTGGGTTTTTGGTTTTGGGTTTTGGGTTTTGGGTTTAGGGTTTAGGGTTTAGGGTTTAGGGTTACAAGCAAGCGGATCCTGCAGTTGTTTGTGGTTGTGTGGAGAAACCCCTCAAACCCTCAATCCCAAGTCCCAACGCCTGGTGCTCACTGCGAGCCCGAACTACCTGATCAAAGGAACAGGCTCCTCCTGTGGGCGCTAACACTCTCTAGGGGTCAATATGGGGACCATCAGGGAATACTATGACCCCGAGATTTAGACTGTGCATGGCTCCTCGCAGACTTCGACTTCAGCCTCAAGGATCTCCGATGCCTTCGGGCAGCTCTTGCTTTCTGACCGTCTTTGATGATGGTGGAAACCTTTCGGGAGCCCGTTTGGAAACTTTTTGGGGAACCTGTCTGTATTCGGGTTCGTGTCCCCTATATAGGGTCTTTGCGAGAGTGTTGGGACTTGTCTTGGGCTAGCTGCCCCCCTCCCCCTCCTCCTCCTCCTCCTCCTCCTCCTTCTCCGCCTTCTTCTTGTCATCCTCCTCCTTCTCCTTGTTCTTCTTGTCATTCTCCTCCTTCTCCTTGTTCTTCTTGCGCTTGGCGGCCTCGTTGAAGGAGCGCCCGTAGCCTGGTGCCACGCTTCGGTCCCCAGCTTGGTGACACAGCGAGCACAAGGGCAGGGCTTCACATGTACATGCACATGTGGGGGTTTCCGAGATTAGGGGTACGTTTTTGGGGGGAATCTTACTATTTTGGGGGTCTATTCTATGTTGCTTACATCTAAATACCCTAAACCCTTAACCCTAAACCCTAAACCCTGAACCGTAAACCCTGAAGTAGTGGCGGCCTGTCGAACGAGTAGCAACCAGCAGAGCTGGAGCATGATCACAGTGACCCTAAGCCTATACTCCCCTTAGAACCTTTTGTAAACATGCTATTTTCCATATATTCCCTTGGGATTTATGTCTAACCAAAATATGAACTCCCAAGGGGGCCATCGAAGCCGGACAGCCCCCCACAGAAGGGCTCAGGGCTGCGTTGAGGGCCCCCAGCTTTTTAAAAACCAATCCTCCCCCCGCGCGCGGAGGACCCAAAGCCTAGACTCGCCCCCATAGCCCCAGAGACTCCAATACCCCTTAACCAAGGAATGTCCCTTGAATGAGAATAGGGTTCCTTGTATGGTTTAAGGAATATTCCTTACATGATAGTAAGGTTCCTTTTCTGGTTTACGGAATATTCCTTACATGATGATACGGCTCCTGATATGGTATAAGGAACACTCCTTAGTTAAGGGGTATTGTTAGTCTCTTGGGGCCTTCTTCTAAGCCCAGCGGCGGCCGGCCACGGGCACAAGCACATACACCGCGGCGGCGCAGACAAGGATGGTCGCCACCACCACGAAGGCAGGGAGGCAGAGGTAGTAGATGCCCAGGGCCATGACCTTGAGGGCCCTTGTGGGTTATTTGAGGGGGGTTATTTAGGGGCTTCTGAGGAAAATAGGGACTATATAAGGTACATAGGGGTTCACTCATGAAGCCCCTCGTCTTTATAAGGGCCGTCGTACTAGGATCCCTCTGATCGTTCTTAATGTTCCAGAGGGAGAGGTTTTTGAATCACGGGTCTACATTACCTTCTCCGAAGCTTTGGAACACACAAAGTGTCCTGGACAGACTAGTCTTTGGGAAGGTCATGCTGAGCCTTAAGCCCCCAGCCCAAAACACAAACCCTAAACCCTAAACCCTAAACCCTAAACCCTAAACCCTAAACCCTAAACCCTAAACCCTAAACCCGATCTGCAAGCCCCTTGGAGGCCCTAGGCCCCTAGACCCCAATGCCCTTCAGATGTGAAAAATATGTGGCTGCCTGGCTTGGGTATAGGGGCTTCTAGAGTTCCGGGTTTAGGGTTTAGGGTTTTTGGGTTTCGGGTTTAGGGTTTAGGATGTTTAGGGTTTAGGGTTTTGGGTTTAGGGTTTAAGGTGGGCTGCAGGATTCAGATGCCTGGCAAAATTGGCTTTACGCCAAACTTGGGCAGTTGCGATTTGGCTTCGGATCTATTGGTTCAAGGCCCAGGGGCTTGGGGTCGGAAGGAGGTCGGGTCACCAAGGTTCGTGCCCAAGCCTGAACCCGTTGAACCGAGCTGAGATGCTCCAACCACCAGGACTCCGCGAAACGACAGAGAATTCCCGAAAAAAAGACATGAGGGAGCCAAAGCCCCAAAACCGAAGCAGCCTACAACGCAAGCCCGCTTCCGAACTCTCCAGTTAAAACCCTAAACCCAGCCTGAACCCCACGGCCATCGGAAACTTCCTGCGCCGCGCATTGCACTGTGAACTCCACCTGTCTGGCGGGTGTAGGGTTCGATAGCTGCAGGGACGCGAGTCTACCGTTGACGGGGGCGAGGTCTAGCGTTCGCGTTTCAGAGCCACTTGACTCAAAACGGGCCTTTACGCACATGTGCATTTACGGGGCCTGAAGGTATATATATATATATATGCTCATGGACACGTATACGTAATATGTACAGTAGATGTGTATGCAAGAATCCAGACATTGACCATCTGGGCCCCTAGGAGCCTTCGACCTTTTGAGCTCCGGAGAGCAGGAAATCGGCCAGTGGAGGCATCACCCGAAGTTCGACGATCCTCCGAAATCCTCCGAAGCCAAAGAATTCCAGAACCCCAAAGGGACCCAAAAATGCGAACATCTGGGGTTAGGGTTTAGGGTTTCGGGTTTAGGGTTTAAGGTAGAACCTGGAACCTCAAGTAAGGGGTCTACTGAAAGGCCAATCATGGGCAAGTGAGCCACCGGGGCAATCGTGGGAGTCAGCGCCATCACCTCGTACAGACGACGAAAAGCCTGGCAGCTAGGCTTTAGGGCTTAGGGCTTAGAGTTTAGGGTTCAGGGTTTAGGGTTTAGAGTTGATAGGGTTTACAGGGTGTTCAGGGTTTAGCTTCCTGGCTTTAGAGAGGCAGCCTTTCCTCAAATACGGTCTGGTTTTTCTGGTTGCCCTGCGTTGAGCATGCATTTGACATTGCGGCTTATACCCGCAAAGAGTTCAATCAGTCTAAACATCATGGTCTGGTGGCCATTGGGAATCGGGGGTCTGAGGATTTTATATACTGAGCAACTTTTGTACTTCATATACCTTGCAACCACTTTCAATGCTCGAGTGAAGAGGGGCGACCTGGGTGACGGCTATCGGCCAGTCCAGGTTGTCGGGCTCCTGCTGCGAGAAGCTAATGATCCTGGTCTGGCCCAAGTCAAAGGTCGCGATGACCTGGATTTCAGGTGTCGCTGCTTACTTATGTAAAGATTGTTGGGACTTCAGGGGTCTCTCGCAGAATTCTAGCCGGGTCGTCGGCAGGTCTGTGTATGATATATCCAAGCGGCTGAGCACGCAGCAAGCCACTGCTGGCCAATTCGTATCATGCTGGTCAGCAGTTTGGTATTGCCGCGCACAGCAGCCGTGGCAGCCGTGGACGCCACGAAGAGGCTCAGAGCAGCTTTCCTGACACGTCAAGCCATCACTGGTACATGTTGAGGTCTGCCGGTGCTATTCGGTGCTATTCGGGAATCTTGACTTTCATAGGTTATCGATGATCTTCCCTCCTCCTCCTCTAAGAAAATTTCAAGGCAACACCCTGGAGGAAGTCTGCAAGAAAAATATTTCGCCCAGGCCCCTTGCCCACGCCTCCCCCCCCCGCCCTCCCCGTCAATCGCATATGGCGCCCTCCCCATCGAAACACTCCTCCGGTCTGCTGCCCTGTTAAACACCTACCTCCGTTTTTGTGGCCTCTAGAGGACAGAATGCGGTCCGATATCGCACCTTGCATGGGGAAGCACTAAACCAGAACCCAAGCTCAGAGGGCTTGCCGGGCTTGCAGGGCTCAAAGAAGAACCACAACCCTTTTCAGCCGTCTGCACTCATCTGCAGCCCAGGGGCAACGACACATGAGCCAGAATACTGGACCCGGGTCCAAAAAGTGAAGAGTCACACGGCTGGCAGGTCCGTCGGAAGGCCTGCCTGGACCAACCACTGGGGCATTCGCCACAGAGCATGCCTGCGAAGACACATGGGGCTGGAGGATTCAAGCTTGCAGGGCTGAGAGGCCTTCTCTTCAACTTTCAACGCCGGCAAAGGAGCTTGCCCCAGCCCACCTCTGGTACCATGGCATCCGCCCACCCCCCCAAAAGAGGGATGCCACAGGATGCCTAGCTTCAATGTGCAACAGACCTGAGACGACCTTAAGAGCATCTCATCAGTGTCGCCTACAGGAAAAAAGCAAGTATCGACTGGAACATCGAACCTTCTGGCTCTTTAGTCGCCCTGTAGTTGGGGGCCTTACCCTTGATCGGCAAAGGGTTGCCTGCACACAAGAACGACTCACCGAATTCTTCGGGAGCAGTTCCAAGCAAGTCCTACTCAAGGGGGATCCCATTTAGAGCTGGGGAGAGCCCGTAGCATCATGAAAAGTACACAAAGACCACCAGACAGAGTGTCTCGAAGCCGACCTGCAAAACGCAAGTGTTTTTAGAATAGGAGATGGTTACGGAGCTTAGGGTTAGCGGTTTGGGGTAAAGTGACATTCAACACCCTGCCTGTAGAGCCTTCTGCGCACTCGTTGGAGAAGTTGCCCACGCAATTCACCGTCGGGTTCTCCGTCTCCAGACAGGCCCCGCCGCCACGACAGACGCTCAAGTTCTCACCGGCATCGACGTGGCATTTAATGGCCACAACCCGGCCTGTCTGGAAGAATCCCGCCTCGGCGATGGGCCTCATGTGAAGCACCTCGCCGTCTACAGTCAACAAGATGTGCAGCAAACTCCCTTCTGCCCACGTTACTTTCGGCAGAATTGAGACATCACCCTGTCAGGACAGCCCATGCAACACAACACCCCAAACCCCAAACCCTGAAACAAAAAACACTGCAGACTGCTGGTCCAGGGTGCTGATTCATTGCCTATGGTTTGGAAGCCGCCGAGGCAACGAAGCCTTGTCGCTTGGAAAGTCGGCACTTCGGGTTTAGGGTTTAGAGTTCAGGGCTGAGGGTTGCAGGGTTCAGGGATGTAGGGTTGAGGGTTTAGGGTTTAAGGTTTAGGGTTCAGAAATTCAGGGCTGAGGGTTCAGGGTTGCAGGGTTTAGGGTTTAGGGTTCATGGTGGAGCACCGAGGTTGGGGGAACGACACGGTACAAGGGTCCAACGTACCGACGAAGCATGCAGGATTTCCACAAAAGCACCGGGCCATGTGCATACTTCACAAACCTACACGAAGACCAACTGCGGTCCTAGGAATGTTTTGAAAAAAAAAAGTCATCACCCCCTAAATCCTGAACCCGGAACTGCACAGCGTGCTTGCGCTCTCAAGCCCGGAGAGTTTGTGGAAAGCCCAGCAGCTGCCCCTGCGCGGCACAGGTGGCGCATCGGGTGAGCTGACCCGCCACGTCTTGCTCCGCGAAATAGCCGGGGCTGCAGTAACAATCAGCCTTGAGCAAAGCCATGACGCAAGGTCAAGCGATGTCAAGTGCATTATTATAGCGTACCCTCCATGGGATTGGGCCTCACAAGGTCTATGGTCACGCCTGACGAGTCGCTGAATAGTGCGCAAGCATAAGGTTCGCAGCTTAAAGACTAGGGTGCTGGATTTGGCATCGGGCGATTTAAAAAAACATTTACGCTTCGATAACTAATTCGGTCCTTTCATGATGCCAGATGTTGGGATGCGTTGTTTGTTTCTTTTGGGCTCATTTCCAAAAACACTCGCCCCAACCTACTTCACCATTCTATCTTGGCACCGCATGCTGTACGACTGTCTGCACACATGGTGAAACATCACAATATATCGCACCGCAACCTGCATCCGTCAATTGAGTTGATTCACTAGTTGGTCATAAAAGCCCAACATTTACAGCGCAACCTGAACTTCTTTATTGCGTGCCATAGAAAAAGTGCCTCAATCGCAGCTTAGTTGCCAGGCTTGTTGAACCAATTCCGCTTTCGCTGTTCGTTGGGCACTGAAAGGGGCATTCGGTCGCCTCGGTGATTTTACCAACCATGGGGACAGATGGGATTTTAAGTTAATCTGTTTGTAGGTCGGAGGTTCTTGCGATAAAAGTACTAACGTGTCAAAACTGTCCACAATGAATGACTTCACCCGCAATAGCGGTATTGCGTGCGGCGGCTTGTGTGCCAAGTTGGCGTGCAGCTTGAACACACCTTAAGACTAAACGGGCCACACGGGCCCCGTGCCAGTTCAAAGAGCGACCACACTTGTCTGGGCATTGAGATGCGGCACCCCGGCTTTGGGGAACTGACTTCGTGGCTTCACCCTAAACCCTAAACCCGAAACCCTAAACCCCTAAACCCTAAACCCTAAACCCTAAACCCTAAACCCTAAACCCTAAGCCAAAAAAAGGCCGCCCAGTCTCGTTGCCAGGCGCCAGCTTGTACCGGCCACTTTGGCAAGGCTCACACATCGATTCCAGCAGCCGGTAGCCTGCCAAGCTCCACTCTATCCTGCTGCTTGAACACACCCTTAACAATAAATCCTAAACCCTAAACCCTAAATCCTAAACCCTAAACCCTAAACCCTAAACCCTCAGGTTGCCTCAAGGATGTCTTCTACTTCAAACTCAGGCAATAACAGTCCTCGCATCATCCTGATAGAGCCATACAGAGTCCTCAAGACGATGTTTCAAAAACCCATCTCATGCAAACAGCTACCCTGCCTCACCCATCCTAAGCGCACCAGGAGCGCTCTTGGAGCGCATGTGCGGGTGACACGTCACCTAGGGGGATTAAGGGTTGAGGGTTTAGGTTTTAGGGTTCAGGGAGCCCCAAGCCCGAAACCCCAAACCCTGTAAAGCCCATGGACCCTAAGCCGCCTGGACCCTAGAAAAGCCCTTTCGGGGCTTTAGGCGTGAGGCTCCAATGCCTGCTGTCAAGCCTCAAGCACCACAAGATCCGAACCACAGCAAGTTTCTGCCCTAAAGCACTGAACCCAGGACACTAGGCCCTAGACCCCCAAACCCCTAAATCCTAAATCTTAAACCCTGAACCCTAAACCCTAAACCCTAAACCCTAAACACTAAACCCTAAACCCTAAACCCTAACCTAAACCCTGAACCCGAGACCCTAAAATAGCCTCAAAGCCCAGCAAACACGTCGGCAGCCTGGGCGGCAAATGCACGCCGAAGCCGAGGTGGAGCCGGCTGGCGAAGTTGCGCCGTTTGGGCACTCGAAGGCCTCTCCTTTTCGGGCTTAGGGCTTACGGCTTAGGGGTTGCAATGCTCATCCCATCACATGTATCCCCGAGGCAAGTGACTCGCTACACATCACAGAAACATATCGAAGAGAGGAACCGCTCCCTTGTGCAGAGCTCCTAAAACACGAGGTGCCTCAGCCTGTTCTGCTAGAGAGGGTCCCGTCTCCATCGAAAACCTGCAGTGAAGTCTCCTGTGCCGGGGCAGAAGAAGTCCGCGAAGCATTCCTGGGCGGGATGAAGCCTACCCTAAACCCTAAACCCTAAACCCTAAACCCTAAGCCCTAAACCCTAAACCCTAGCTGTAGAATCCAGACGACGTCTGACTCGCTCCACTTCGTGAGAACACCACGCGCGTGCACCGCAAACACTGCCCTCCTGTCAGGCAGCCTTGATCTTCATAAGCTCAAGCATCTCGCTCGTTAGGGCGCGATCCGCACGAGATGTCTGAGCCGGAGAAGTGGGGGCCCAACGCCCGCAATCGCCCACTTCAAACGTTGCAAACACTGTAACAAACGAAAGGACTTTTCTCCAAGACGAACATCATCGACTACTGCCACCCATGAGGAGTACCAATCTTACGCACGGGTGTACTTCAGCGTTCGAGATGTGCCAGGCCACTTTGCATGTGGATCTCTTTTCTGGATTTTGGGTGCCTTAGGGGTTGCAGGTTGCTTGGGATTGCTGAAGTACCCTAAACCCTAAACCCTAAACCCTAAACCCTAAGGTTGCGCAGTATAACTCCCTACGGCGCCCACCGAGGCGCCGTGCAGTTGTCGATCCCGACCAAGCCAGGCTGGCAGCGGCAGTCTGCGGATGAGGTGGACCCGACCTCCATGAAGAGACTTGAAAGCGGGTTTTGGGGTTTTAGGGTTTTAGGGTTTTAGGGTTTTAGGGTTTTAGGGTTATAGGGTTTTGAAAGCCGCAACTTGGGGTTTGCTGGGCGGGTTTACGATCTGCCCAAATTTCCGGGATGTCCCAGTGACCTCGACCCTCAGCCTTGATCCGAAGGCCCTTTTCTAGCGTGAAAACACAAGGCCCATGATAACAATCTTACTGGTAACACTCTTGCCACATACAATGCGCCGTTTGAGTTCGTGTCTTCCCAACCACTGCTCCTCCCGTGACTTTGGAGGTCGTGCCTCCAGCGTCGACCGGTCTCCTCGGCTCGGAGGGCTTCAAAAGCGTTTGGGCCTTTGAGGACGCGTCAAGGGTGGCTTAGGTACGTTTAGGGCCCCGAGACCAGACTTCCCCCCGTGCGAGGATTCTGGGTTCGCGCACTTGCATACATTTACTACTTGCGCGGCGTCATTTGGCCAAAGAAGAGAATGATAACAAAAAGCGCGGTGCCCGGCGAATCTCGGGGCGATGCTCGGGGTTGAGGTAGGGTGCCTAGCCTAGGCTTAGGTCAGGTGGGCCATTTGAAAACTTGGGTTTCAGGGTGTTAGGGCGGAGTGGCTGCCTGCGGGATTCTTTGGGTGTGGGGATTCGTAACACTAAACCCTTAAACCCTAAACCCTAAACCCTAAACTCTCAGCGGGATTCAAAACTCCCGCAAAGAGAGCTTTTTTGCTGCGAACCCCTGGAGTGACCCACTCATCCAGGGAATCCCGCCGAGAGGATTAATGTCTGTTGCGCCGGTTTTTCTTTTATTACTATTATTACTCTTATTACTATTCTGATTATTCTAAGAGAATGGTCGATTTTGAAAAACCTAGTCTGCAACTAAAAATCAACCCTGGGCACCTTTAAGTCCACAGCCGGGGACGTGAAAAAAAAAAAACCGAGCTCCCAACATCCCCGAATTGAGAATCTTGAGCCTCGCTATCCCGAACCCTACATAAGCCTTGATCCCGGACAGTTCAAGGAACCCTAATTTCAATGGGTCCAGCCCCAATCAACGAACCCGACGCCCTCGACATAGCTATGTGTGCAAATTCACAAGCCCCAAATCGTGCCGCTTAACAACAAGCCTCTGCCCTGAACCCTTAAACTGCCCCCAACCCCCTCCCCGGCAGCCCAAACCATCATGCGTTCCAGGCGCGGGGACAGACGCTGCACAATTGGTTGCCCGGCACGCCTTTGAAAGTGCCTTTTTGGCAAGGCTCGCAAATGCGGAGACCTGGGTTTCAAGGGATGGAGTTTGGGGCTTACGGATCAGAGCTAAGAAGCCCCTTTGGGCTACTAAGCTCCAGGGTTTGGTCTCTGTCCTTTGGGGTTGGGGGGAGGCTTCATGGCTCTTCAGAAGAAGGCTTGCGAGGTCGACCTGCGTGAACGATTCGCTATCTTTGTGCCGTGACCGGACTTTAAAAGACACCATATTGCTTCTCGAAGGCCTCTGGCTTATGAGGTTTAAGTGGAGCGGAAGTCTAGAATGCAGGCTTCTTGCACAGTGATGCCTTCGTGGACATGAGTCCACCATGATGTCTCTGACATCTTGCCAGGGCCTGGCACAAAAAATCAAAAGCCTGCTTTTGGAGCAAGAATACTCGTGTCGTAGCCATACCCTGGGCCGCATTCGCAAATGGCTGGGTTATCTGGCTGCAGGTTCACGAAGCCTCAGCTGGTAAAGGCTACTGAACCCTTCACTACCCCCAAGCCCACAGTGACAATACTGTTTCACCATTTCAGTTCCTTGCAGGGAAAACCCAAAACAGGAAGCTTACATCTTAAACCATGTCACACCAACCGTACACTGCAAAACAAGCCTTCCATGAAAATCCAAGGAAGCCCGGCAAGCATGTGCACGAACTCAATGCTGTTGCGCCAGGCTCGAGCGTTGTGGAACCATAAGGGCAGTTGATGCAGGCACTTGTTTCCTCAATCACAGCCGCATGGCTCAAACACTGTCACTTGCTAAACAACACAACAAAAGCTTCCCACTTTGGGCGCTTCAGGCCGAAGGCTTGTTACAAAACAAAGGCAAAGCAGATCTAAGGAAAAAAGCTCCCAACCAGAATGGCATGTTCCAGCCCAGCCAAACAAGTTAAAATGAAACGGCGCAGGGCCCGCAAAACTCTGCTGCCGCTTCCTGTCTACCAAGCTGCTGTGCTCCAGTAATGTGCAGGATCGCAGAGGCACTGTGAAATTTGACCTAAGTGCAGGCACGCCCTTTGCTTGGTGTGTATGCCCACATGGCTTGACACTTTATACGGATATCATGTTTGCCCAGGACCTGTTTGGGAATGTAAGCCCTCAACCCTGAGTGAACGGGCACAGATCAATCAGCAAGGAGGAAGTGTTGAAAACTTTCCGCGAGCTGGGGCTTGTGCAAGCAACTTGTGTGCCCGTTGTGTTTTCTGGTTCCCAGGGCAAGGCTACAAAGAAACCCCCCAGGGCCAGGTATGCGCAAGTATCTCTAGATGTACATACAGCGAGTACTCCTGGAGTTTGGAAGGCTTTTAGTAGCGTCTTGTTTCAAGTTAGCCTTTCTTGTAACTTCTGAGCCAGAGCGGATCGTTGATGCCGTGGCAGTCCTCAACCTCCCCCTAAACCCTAAACCCTAAACCCGAAAATCAACCTGGGACGGAAGGCTGGAGCCCGGCGAAGAGGAGCTGGAGGACGGGCAGGGCAAAGACCCCCCACCACCCGGGCAGTACGAGCCTGGGCGGTTTAGGGTTTAGGGTTTCGGGTTTAGGGTTTAGGGCTTAGGAAAGTTCAGGGTCTTTAAGGCCTTTGGGGTTTCTGCGGCCCGGTGACCGGACTTTTGGGTTCAAGGCTTCGGGCTCAAGAGCTCTTGAGAGCGTGTGCCTGGATGAAGACAAGGACGTGCTCGTCACGGCATACACAGAACAGCCCTTTCTTTGCTTGGTGCTGAACCCCCCTCAAAGGCCTCCGGCAACATCCCCCTCAAACGGAACCCAGAAGCCCGGCTCGCATGGCTGGCAGGCACCATCAACTTCATATTGTCCAGGAGGGCACACAACGTGCAACTGCATCGCCGTGGCGCGGAACGCTTCCGGCACCGAGCACTCGCAGCCGGCGGGGCACCAGCAGAGGTGGACGGTGTCTGGCCGACTTGCCGCATCCACGAAGCCCAGGTCCACCACGAAACGATCTGCGGCATCATCGAAACTCACCGAGATCGTCTGCTCACCGAAGATTGCTGTCGCAAGGGAGCCACCGCACTGAGCCAACGCCATCACGGTGTCGTTCAGCGACATGCCAATGCCCTGCACCGGCACAACGCAGTCTTCCCCGGTAAAGCAAGTCCTGCTCTGATTGGGCAAGGGCCCCTCCACGATGAAAACGCCAAGGTCATCGGAAAAGTCTGTCGTCTGGTTGCATGCCTTGCGGGACGGGTTGGGGCTCTGAGGGCTTAGGGGACGGAGGACGGACAATGCCAGCGTGCCTCACGTCTGAAATCTCCCCTTGCTGATGTCGGGTGGATTCCCTAAGCCCTTTCACCTACCCAGAGACTCCGAAACCCCTTAACTAAGGAATATACCTTAAATCATATTAGGGTTCCTATTATAATTTAAGGTATATTCCTCAATTAAGGGGTTTTGGAGCCTCTGGGTAAGACTGGCCCTAAGCTGTCTAAACAATACCGCAGATCCAGCTCAGTGCCTGAAAAATACCACGACCTACAGCGGTCTTGGGCTTTTGCCTTAGGATCTTGGTTTGGGGCTTCGGGTTTATGGAGTTTAGGAACCCTAAACCCTAAACCCTAAGCCCTATACGGGTTGCCAGGCCTGGTTTGGGCACACGCAGAGCCGATGATGGCCTGGCTGCAGGAAGAGTGGCGAACCCACGCGGAAGCCATGCCTTGGCTGAACGTTGAGAGGGGCGAAAGTGAGTTTAGGGTTTAGGGTTTAGGGTTTAGGGTTTAGGGTTTCGGGTTTAGGGTTTAGGGTTTAGGGTTTAGGGTTTAGGGTTTAGGGTTTAGGGTTTAGGGTTTAGGGTTTAGGGTTTAGGGTGTTGCGCCGGGGTGCTCCAGGATGTCTGCCTCCGCCAACTCTGCAATCGCCAAGCCGGGCACAACCTCGCGGTCCACGCAGGCCTGCTTCACGGTCACGCGGGCGGCCGCGTGCAGGGAGCCTCTTGCAAACCAGCTGAAGCGAGTCAGATGCCCCGAACATCCTAGCCTTGAGTCTTGCGGGACAGCTGTTCGCCTCAAATGCCCTACATGATCCCTGACCCGAACCCGTATGTTCGCGCTGCTTCCAACGATATGTCATACCGTTTGCCAATCTTTGAGAAACAAAAACCCCTCAACCCCTAAACCCCTAAACCCTACACGCTGAATCCTAAACCCTGAATCCTACGTCTCTGGAGACCCCGCCGGTTGGTTGAAAGACGGTTTAGGGTTTAGGGTTTAGGGTTTAGGGTTTAGGGTTTAGGGTTTAGGGTTTAGGGTTTAGGGTTTAGGGTTTAGGGTTTAGGGTTTAGGGTTTGGGGTTTAGGGGACACAAGCAAAGCATGAAATCTTCAACCCCTGCACTTTCAGGGCTGCCCCCCCGCGCAGCTTGGGGCTTGGGGCTTGGGGCTTGGGGCTTGGGGCTTGGGGCTTGGGGCTTGGGGCTTGGGGCTTGGGGCTTGGGGCTTGGGGCTTGGGGTTTAGGGTTTAGGGTTTAGGGTTTTGGATTTTGGGTTTTGCACCAAAAAAGGCAGAATCAACGACATGGCCTTCAACGGCCCGGAGAGACAGACTCACCAAGCCGCCCTGGCCCCCTAAAATTCCGCCCAAAAGCATATCAACCTTCCCATGCCGAAATCTTGCCATTCCCTGGCAGAACAAGGAGCATGGTTTAGGGTTTAGGGTTTAGGGTTTAGAGGTTTAGGGTTTAGGGTTGAGGGATGAAACCGCCTTGTGTATCTGGGTCCCCCACTGTCTGGAGCGGAAAAATTCAAGGTGCAATCTTGCCCGATCTGGCATCTCATTACTGGCACTGTGGACATCGGGGAGGCCGCATACCTCTGCGAGAGCACTTTTTTCGAGTGAAGAAAGGGGGGCCTGCCTGAAGGATCTTAGGTACTTGCACCGCAACAACCGCCAAGGATCTGCACACGTCTCCGGGTAGTGTCTAAGGCTTACGGCTTCACACTCGCTCACTCTTCCCCCCACTGTATGCACCGAAATGTCTTCAGCAAATTACGCTGCCTGTCACTTGATCTCGCCACATTACGCTGGATGGTGCAGAGTCATTAACACTAAACAGATGATGATAAGCGACGAAGGATTACTTTTGATGTAGTGCCATACTCTGTTACGTGCTGTTACATTCTACTGTCTCAAACACTGTGTTCTTTCTAGTTGTTTGTTATGTGGCTCTCGCTCCTGTGTTAAGAACTTCCGGAAATTCCAGTGTGCTCTGCTGTGTTCTGTCATGCTCTCTTAGGTGTTAGATTGGGATGTTCCTCCTTATACAAACTTAACAGGGATTATAGTACCCGCTGATCCCTAGTAAGGACTGTTAGTACAAGGGGGAACATCCCAAGTGCTCGATTGAAGTTCACAACATAACGCGTCATGCTAGGGGGCCTCCAGGTGTCCTCCAAGTACAGAGTGTTGAAGCCCCCAAAGACCAAGAGTCCATATCTCCTGAGCACTTTTTCGGGTTTAGGGTTTAGGGTTTCGGATTTAGGGTTTAGGGTTTAGGGTTTAGGGTTTAGGGTTTAGGGTTTAGGGTTTAGGGTTTAGGGTTTAGGGTTCCTCACCTAAGCCTGCTTCGCACATTGAGCGGGACCTCTGTGTGACATGTATGCTAGGTAAGCTTCTGTTTGAGAACAACACAAACCTGGTTTCGAGGGCAAGCGCTCGCATTTTCTAACCATAGGCAACGCGTTTGCCTGGACGCGTCTACACTACACTACACTATACTATACTATATACTCTACTATACTATACGATACTATACTCTACTATGCTATACTATACTATACCACACGAAAAAGTTCCATATTGCAATGACCACAGAAAAATGGCGCTTGGCGTCTCTTGGGAACCTTTGCCCCAGGCCATCGCCGCCTGCGCACGCGCGACAGGGCCGCCCTCACCAGGGAGCTGCGCCCAGGTGTTCGAGAGAAGGCTGTGCCTGCCCAAAGGGCCCCCCCAACCCGAAAGCCTAAACCCCTAAGCTTCGGGACTGTTGTTCAGAGCTTAGGGCTTAGGACTTCAGGATGGCATGCTACAGGCGCTGGAAGGCTACTGCACCTGTACCAAGAGCTATCATCAGGAGACCATACGAAGCAATTCAGGGTTTAGTGTAGAAGGTTTCGAGTCCGGACAAAGAAGCCTGCCGAAGCCCAAATTCATACAGGTCGGATCCAACAACAGCCGACAACAGTGCAAACAACAACATGCTACTCTCAATGAACGCATGTTTCGGCTTGGCGAAGATCGCTAAGCAAGCATGTGCTGCAACTATGGCGGAACACTTATGCCCTTATAGGACTACAGTGTAGATAACAGCTCTTCAGGCAAGGTTGCACGCAACAGACCCGGGAAGCACCGGATGCTCAAATCTGCTCTATGTCGGGCACCAGTCGCTGCACAATGACTGCAGTTGGAGGTTTGAAGGCATGTGCTGTTCTTTCGATACTTCCGCTGCTTCACAACTCGCAATGGCCCATCGGGCAGCTCTGACGTGTCCCTCCAAGGGGGTTGGGCTTTGGGGTTTTGGGTTTTAGGGTTTAGGGTTAAAGCACAGGGACGACCCAACCCTAAACCCTAAATCCTAAACCCTAAACCTTAAATCCTAAACCCTTGAAAAGGACTTGACAGCTCCCCCGCCTGTACAGCGCGCGATCATAGGACAACTCGCCGGTGTCGTTTTGCGTGCCAGCAAATATGAACCTGAACTTGGAGGATCATGGGACTTAGTAAGTAGGGTTAGAAGTACCCCCTAATTGAGGTTATAAGTAATTGGGAAGTTTGGTTCGAAGTACTAGAATTGAGGTTATAAGTAGTGAGTACTTGTAGCTATACTAAGTCCCCTGGTCCTTTAAGAACTTCAGCCAAACCCAAACAAGTCTCACCCGACAAAAATGTTGCGTACATGATTGGTATTGCCTGGCTGTAATCGAAAACCGTTGGGATGTAATCAAAAACGCGCGGCACAAAAACGAACCCTAAACCCTAAACCCTAAGCCCCAAACCCTAAACCCTAAACCTTTGTCACTTTGCCATGAAAGGGGGCATTGACATTGAGCGTGGATCCCAGGCGGCAGCGTGCCCGCCGCGAGCAGAAGGGACGCCTCTGCAATGTCAAGGGTTTAGGGTTTAGGGTTTCGGGTTTAGGGTTTAGGGCTTAGGGCTGAGGGTTTAGGGCTTAGGGCCTAGGGCTGAGGGCTTACGATTTAAAAGGGTTTCGGGTGGTTTAGGGTAGTTTATGGTTTTGGGCATGGTTGCTTTTAAAGACAGTGCTCGTAACAGCTTTCATATAAACTGGCTTTTAAGTAGAAACTCTTCTATTTCACCCAAAAACGACACATCCGAGATCCCAATACACTGTGTCGCGTTTTCGGTTTATGTGCGGGGCTCTTGGGATATGACCTCCCTTTTTCGCCCGGACGCCTGATGTTGGCAGAAGCTCTGTCCACTGGTCCGTCCACCAGTTGTACCTTAAGCTCCGTGGCGCAAAGATCTCTGGAGGTTTACGAGAATAGGGGAACCCCCAAGATAGATCCCCTAAGAGTAGGATTCCCTTACAATCCTTACCCCCAACAAGGTGCCCTCATTTAGGAAAGCCCCATCTAGCAACCTTCGGAGCGAGGCTAGATGCTTCCTCCGGTGCATTGCTTATAACATCCATGAACAGAAGTGTCGCAGCCCAAGAAACCCTCGGAGACCCCGAAACCCTACGAAACCCTCAGTTCAGCCCGAGCACAAGTGGAGATCCCCCAAGTATTCGGCACCTGTCCACCCTGCAAAAACCAGCATGCACCTCAGCGGCCCGGACCGCTCACGCTCCAAGCTCAGGGTTCCGGGCTTAATGTTTAGGGTGTTTAGGGTGCTTAGGGTGGTTGGGGTCTTGGGGTTTTGGGGTTTTGGGGTTTTGGGGTTTTGGGGTTTTGGGGTTTTGGGGTTTTGGGGTTTTGGGGTTTTGGGGTTTTGGGGTTTTGGGGTTTTGGTGGGGTTTTGGGGTTTTGGGGTTTTGGGGTTTTGGGGTTTGGGGCTTGGGAGACAGTGGCAGCTGACCGAAAAAACTCAGCAAGACACATGGTGGTGGGATCCCACACCGCAGCATGCCCGCTTCGGGGGCTTGGCGAGGTGGCGCTTGATGTGCTCCAAGAATTTCCTAGGATGGCCCCGCAAGAGCCCTCTGAAAAAGAATAACCCTAAACCCTAAACCCTAAACCCTAAACCCTAAATATAGTCCTCTTGAACCCAAGAAGGGAAAATAGCAAACTGTCCCCCTTGGGGGCCTGCCGAGCTTCTTGTCAAGCTGTAGCGAGATAAGTCGTTGAGCGGGCCACCCGAGCCTTCGCCGGCAAAGATGAACATGGCGCGGTGGGCCATGTCCCAGACTGCCGTGTGGTCGATGCGCGCGGACGGGATTCCATGGAGGGCTTGCAACGGTTGCCAGGAGTCCGTGGCTGTGAAGTATTGCCAGAGATCGTTGTAAAAGGTGCTCAAATACCTTCCGGCAAAGATCAGCATGGACCGCGATGCCGCGTCCCACACTGCAGAATGCCCTGACCTTGTGGGAGGCCCGGCGGAAAGTTGGGCCCAGGTAAAGGGAAAGCTTAAGCGCCAGAGGTCGGAGAAATACTGGAAACGATGGCTTGCTTGGCCGCCGAACAAGAAGGCAGACTGTGTTTCATCGTCCCACACCAGTGAGTGACCCTCGCGGCCGGCCGGCGCGACGACCGAGTACCTCCCAGAGCTAGACGGTTTCGCGTGCAACAAATACAGGATCTGAGGCTCTACAAAACCTAGAACATGCCACGGAACAGGCAACAACACATCAGGGGTGCTGTGTCCACGCGTCCAGTTGACATTGCACACCTGGAGCGAGGCATGCAAACTGATTGTTCCGATGCCAACGAGAACGCTTGCTCAAGCGGAATCTATATCCAAAATCAAGAGCACCCTGAGCAAAGACGTCATCAAAATGCATGTTTGAGGGACATGAGGGCTTCCCAGGACGTCAAGGCATGTCAAGGCCAAAGTAACTTCAGTATAGCATGCGTAACTACATTGCAACCTACATGCATATACCAACATCCGCACACAGCTTAAACACTCCTGTATGGCAACCAAACAGGTTCGATCAATCAAGAACGATGTCCGAGGTTCAAGACCGTTGAATGGCAGCAAGAAGAGTCTGACTACTGCATTCTGCATGCGGGGCTCCGGGCAAGGTGCCATCTGCCCACCCCCGCACCCCCGCACCCCCGCACCCCCCACCCCACCGATGACGCAGCCCAGGCCTGCCATCTCCCGGGCAGTACAGTCGTGATTCTTCCAGCCCTTGAACGAGCAGTTGCGGAGACTCACCTGCAAGATGGGTTTAGGCGGTTTTGGGTTTAAGCAGACAGTAGAGTGGTGTCCAACTTGGATCAACCTGGGTCGTTTCAGTCAGGCCGGCACGGCTCGCGCGACAGAATGAAATCTACGTCGCAAGAATTCACCTGAGCTCCTCGACTATCTTGCCACCAACAAACATGAGCTGCACAACGCGCCGAGTGACTCTAAACTTAAGAGGGACACCATGACTTCTGCTGTCTCTTCGCTTTGACTGCAACCCGTGGGTACTATGGAAATCGACACTCTTGAGACCCTAAAACCCACACTTCGCCTGCAAGTGGCTTAAGGGTTCCGTCGCGTTGGGAGTTCCGCCGTCCTAAGTCAACTACTTCCAGAACCTGGGATAGAACACGAGCAGAACCCTGAATGTCGCTCACTTCTAAAGCAGTGCCCTGCCAAGTGGACCCAAGACTGCATATCACACCGATCACACCTCTGGAGACCCTCAAGCTGTCAACGCACCTCGTCGCCCAAACACGTCAGGCCGTCTACCAAAATCTCACCATCACCTGGGGGCTTCTACTTTTTGAGTCGCAGCAGTGTGCCACAACATGTTGATACCCTTCCCCCACACTGGCGCGTCCCAATGCCTGTGAACTTTCGGGCCCATGACCCGTGCTCCCCCTGCTCAGCTGCCACATTCAATAATCTTACTGTTGGTTTGTAGGAGGGAATTAGGGCCCTAGATAATCCCTTGAAGGGTATATATAGGGGGATGCAGGGTACCCTCATTCCCTACTAACCAACAGTAAGTAATGAGGATCGTTGAGTGGCGCGAGGAGTCGAAATCCGTGAAGAGGGCCTTGCCGCCAGCCAAGCCCAGATCCTCGGGTGACTCGGATAGAACTCATGAATTGGCATGACAAACAACAATCTGCAATGTTCCCAAACCCTAAACCCTAAACCCTAAACCCTAAACCCTAAACCCTAAAGAAGGCCGTCCAGAGCACATTCACTCCTCCCAACCATGCTATTCCCGCTACTCCCCCACCGGCTTGACGATCTCAGAAACTTGAAGCGGATTACATTTTCCATGGTCCCCAACCCCCAGCCCTTCGGGGAGCCGAGTGCTGGGGCTTATGTTTTGGGGGGCTGCCGTTATGACTGTGTCCATCGCCTGCTTTGCAGATTCGGCCCCGTGCTAAGGCAACACAGGCATCGAAGAGTTCCGAGGATGGCCATTGAGGGCTCCCCTCCAAAACTTCGAAACCATCGAAAAACCCCGGGAAGCATCCCTTTTAAGCCCCAAGCTCTGAGTTCTTTAAGGGTTTAGAGTTTAGGGTCAAGATCCCTCCACCTGCTGATGGATGTTTCCCTCATTGCATTTTGCGAGAAGCTGCGTGGCCAGTCTGAACCGTGTGGTACCCTCCCATGAGACAACGAACTCAATTGGAGCACCCTTTGAAAACCCTATGCAACTATGCTCTATATATACATATATATATGTATATATGTATATATATATATATATATCTCTCTCCTTTTTTTCTTATCTATACCCCACAAAACCATATTCCTCAAAACCCACGCTCCTGAAAAAAGGAGCTCACATGCTTGGCACTACGAAGTGCTAGCGTCTCTGCAGGAGACGCGGGCCGCAGCATCATCCCAGCCATCGTCGCAGATGAGCCCCCAGGAGCCGTTGTAGGAGAGCTCCAGGGCCTCGCTGGCGTCGCTGGCCAAGCGCACGCCGTCGAGCCTCGTTGATGGTTGGGATGGCATTCAAGAAACTTCGATTCCTGTTTGGCCCTCAACCCTAAACCCTAAACCCTAAACCCTAAACCCTAAACCCTAAACCCTAAACCCCTTAAACTGAGTCCATAAGTACCCTTAGAAAAAAGTGCTACCCCAATGATTCTCAAAGCAGCTCCCAGGGCTCCGGGGAGGCAAAGAGCTGGCTGGGCACCAGGGTCAGGGTGTTGGGGCTGTTTCGCACGCTGGCGGTGCTTCCGATGCCCAGCTGCCCAAACCTGCGGTTTAGGGTTTTAGGGTTTAGGGTTTAGGGTTTAGGGTTTTAGGGTTTTAGGGTTTTAGGGTTTAGGGTTGCGGATGTAGCGTGCGGAGTTGAGGGTTTAGCGAATCCTCAAAGCAATGTTGGTTTATGCTGGTTGCACGTCCAGACACGCGTTGGAGCCCCAGCATACGGTCTCATCATCGTGCAGCACTGCACACACCTGATTCGTGTGACTGCCACGCAACTCTTTGCTGGCTAGTGAGACATGCTAATCTCCAGTAGAGGATCCCGGGGTCCCTGAGCACCTCGCCTCCAAGCAGTTAAGCGGATGAACTAGGCGGATCTATGCGCGAAGCTTGGAAGACAAAATGCCGAGGTACGTGATAGTCTCCAACAGCCACTTGCCGGACGCGTCGTCCCCCAAGGTCCACCACGGGCAAAGCGTCCCCCATCTGTTGTGGCATATCTCCCCGGTTCTCAACGTCACCAAGACCCAGTTGTCCTGCTCAGCATCAGTATGCACAACGAGGAAACACAAGAAAGAGGTGGTCTGCAACGAAAGCCCCATAGTGTTCCGGAAAAGTGCTGGGCACAGCACAACTTGCGAAGCCCGTCCACAGCTGCAGTACAAATCATGGATCATGGCAAACAATACCTGTGTGGGGAGCATCCCATCAAAAAGGATCCGTATGAAACCTCCTGGCACACGTCTGGATGTTACTGGAGCAAAACAGCAACAGGTGACCACGCCTCATGACGAAGACCCTGCTTCTGAAAACAACTTTTGACCTCTACCATCTTTGCGGCTAGGCTTTGAATCTGTCGCAGGGTTGCTGTTTGACGCTTGGGCCAGGAAGACAAGTGTTGCTAGCAAAGGACCTGAATTCAACTAAGAGCGTCGCAGTCTTACAGCTTGGGGCGTTTGCAAGCTCTGCGTCCAAATACTCTACGCAACCTGAACCATTGCAACAATGTACTTATGCTGGCTGTATGATCATGGCATCAAGAACAGAGAACGGCTCTAGCGATAAAAGCCCAGCACCAATGTTGCGGCAGTTCTGGTTCATCCTACTTTATGCTGAATGGATGAACCGGCACTGTATTCGCTGCAGATCAGGTTTGAAATGAGGCTGTGGAGCACCTTCCTCGCTTCAAACACGGCACCCAAGAAGACCGGGTGCCTAAACCGAGCTTTGACGCCCTAAGCTGCGTTCACAGGCTGAACGTGCATGCGCATGCATGAAAGTCCGAGCCTACACAATGCCGACTCCCTTTCAGCGCCTGACCCATAAACTCCCTCAACCTACATAGACCTTAAACCCGAAACCTGAAACCCTACACCCCAAACCCTAAACCCGAAACCCGAAACCCGAAGCCCCTTGGGCTGTCCTTCATCTCCTCGGCCCCAGCACTTCAGTGACTCATCTTGTAATGTCGCGCACGTGGTGCCACCTCCCGCCGCCACCGCAATCCTTAACTTCACGCTCACGGGCGCGGGTTTCAGGTTCACAGGGTTTAGGGTTTAGGGTTTAGGGTTTAGGGTTTAGGGTTTAGGGTTTAGGGTTTAGGGTTTAGGGTCTAGGGTTTAGGGTTTAGGGCTTCAGGGAAAAAAGAAGCTTGCGGCCTTCGGAAAGTTTGCACGAAACCGTCAAAAGATGTTTCCAGGGCTAATCCAGGTTCGCTTTCATGCCCTCGCCCAAGTCGACCGCTGGGATGCTGCGCACGTTCTCGGCCGCGACGGACTGATCGCTACCCTGCCCCAACTCCCCCCAAAGGGAGTCTCCCCAGCATTTGATGGAACCATCTTGAAGCAAAGCGCAGCAATGGTCAAAACCGCTTGCGATTGCAGTCGCTTTCAGCTCCAAGTCGACGGCGTCGAGGTTCTCACCCATGTCTTGCGGCTCAACCGTTTGCAAAGTGAAGGTGCCCCAACCTGCACAAGCACAAACATAGGAATACAGTTTAGGGACCTTTTTGGGTGTTGGGGTTAGTCAGGAAGTAATGGGGCTTATGCACAAAATACAATGGCAACACACCCCCAGAACCAATAATCCTATTGTTTCGGCCCCTAGACTAGGGGCTTGGGGTCGACAATCGTTGAGTCCCTACAGGTACAGGAGGGTGGGAAAACGATCACCCAGCAGCATTTGACGCGACCGTCGATGGACAGAGCGCACGTGTGTGACATACCTTGGCAACTAGGGTTTAGGGTTTAGGGTTTTGGGTTTAGGGTTTAGGGTTTAGGGTTTGGGGTTTAGGGTTTAGGGTTTAGGGTTTAGGGTTTAGGGTTAGGGTTTAGGGTTATGAACTTGTATATGCTACACATAAAGGTGTACACACGATGCCCACTTCGGGCCCCGCGTGCTTTGTACATGACATTCAAGGGCCATTTAAGGAGCCCTAACAACACTGAAACCCTAAACCCCAAACCCGAAACCCTAAACCCTAAACCCTAAACCCCAAACCCTAAACCCTAACCCTAATACCCTCAACCGAGTCACCACTGGAGAGCTGCTGAACGGGAAAGTCGCCCAGGTCGACCGCGGGGCCCGGCTCGAGGAGCTCGGGCCCATCCGCGTAGCCCATGTTTCTCAGCGAGTTTGGTGAACAGAGGGTTTTAGGGTTTAGGGTTTAGGGTTTAGGGTTTGGGGTTTGGGGTTTAGGGTTTAGGGGTATCAAGACAACGTAAGAAATATAATGTTAACCTCATAATTCTTCGGTATTCTGGTGCAATCTATTGCATTCTATTGCATTCTATTGTATCCCATCGTATTCTATTGAATTCTATTGCATTCTATTGTCTTCTACTGTCTTCTATTGTCTTTTTTTGTCTTCTATTGTCTTCTGTCGTCTTGCTGCAGCCGTGGGTGCCCGCGATCTGGACCCCAACATCTGACGGATCCGTCTTCGAGCAAAGCGCACGTGTTCCTCTTGGCAGACCAGATGTGAAACGTCTGAGCCGACAGCTGCACCACTTTGCCTGCGCCACGGTGCTGCACCCTAAGCGCCCCAAACGCCCCTAAACCCCTAAGCCCTTTATGCCGCTTCCACATGATGTACAACTCCCAAGTTCCAGAATTCACTCGAAGGGCTTGGACGGGTTTAGATGGATTTAGGCTTTGTGTTTTAGGGTTGCGGTCGCTTTGGGTTGGATCTCTGCAAATGCTCAAAGGGAAGCTTGCGGGGCTGTGCCCTCACTCTCCTGTCCGCCAGCTGCGCCTGATCCGAAATCCTTGTCTGTGAACTGCTCGTCTTCCCAACAGCGCACGGAGCCACCACGAAGCAACACCTATCAGCCAGCAAAAGGTGCAGATGGCAATGTGGGAGCACAACCGCAGCATACCGCAGCAAGGGACATGGCTGATGAATCATGATGAATCTAACATTTACTTGGAGGTTCATGGTACTTATTAACCAATTCTAACGGTACTTATAACTATACTTATAACCATATTAGGGCACGTAAGGGGCTTATGATGAATCTAACATTTAGCTGCGCAGACACGGCACGCAAGCGCTGGGGACTGCGACTTGCAGAACGGCGCCCCCTGTGTCCAAACTGGGCAAATTGGCTCCCATCTCGCCCGGCTCGTCTCCCAAGTTTTGGTCCGTCCCGGGGAGCGAGTTCTCCTCATTGCTGCCCCAACCTGAGAACTTCAGACTGAGTCTGAGACTCAATACTTACTTTCGTTACTTCATGACAGAGCGACTTTCCTGCTTTTGCATTGTTCTTCAAATTTCTCATATTTCTTCACAAAACCCAAGCCAAGCGACACTTTAGCTGGCCGGATGGAAACTGCACGGCGCAGTTGCGGTCTACAGCCGCATACACGGAGACCAGTGGCGAGATTGCGGCCTCGAGATGGTAAACGGCTATTGCGTCGACTGCAACATCCCTGCGAAACACCCTGCCATCCTCAGTCTCTACGAGGACAAAGCGAAGCGCATACGTCGCAGACGGCAGTGGGATCTTCTCCTGGTGCCAGCCGCCTTGATTGCCAGTCCTCGACCAAATCCTCCACCACCGGCCACTTAGGACTTGCAACTCCAGGCTGAAGTCGCCGCCCGAGATGGCCCCATACATACGGTAGGCAAAGCTCACGTACGCATTTGTCGCAGCAGGAAAGAGCGGGCTGACCATAGCTGCCCGGCGAACCTGCAAGCAGACAAGCAGACTCACCTTTGCCTAAACCCTAAACCCTAAACCCTAAACCCTAAACCCCTCATTGTTGGTGGGCACTTACAAGATGTCGGCATGCGTAGCCAGCCCTGATCACGGACCCATAGGCTGTAGTCCCTCTAAACACCTGGCACAGCACTTTAAATATCTGTAAATACCTTAAGCTCTTATCGAACCCCAGGTTTGTCGAGTCCGTGGAAACTGATATGCACACGATTTCTTGAAGCGGCATGCACCCAATCCTACGGCCTCAGAGCGGAAGAAACGGCCAGAGAACGATTCGCCCACGTAAACGTAGCTGTTGCTCCGGAATCCTCCCTCAGGAACGCCCGCTGCACGTTCTCCCTCTGGCGGTGAGCTGGACTCCCACGACCACGAAGAAGCATTCGGCGGTGAGCTGGAGTGCGACCACCAAGGAGAAGCACCTGGTCCTATGCCTGACCAGCCGCAGACATCTTCGAAGCTGCAGCTGGCAGATTCCATGGAAGCGACTGCAGGTCCCAGGATGAGGGAATCGATCCGAACGATGTTTGGGACGTTCCCCGTCGCCGCGAAGGCGGCGATCAGCCGCACAGAAACGGTTCCTTGAGGCAGGCTGACCATGACGGGCTTCCAAGCGAGCTGTTGGGTGCCTGTCATGAAGGCGCTGGTCCAGCCGGAGACTTCTGACCAGGCCTGCACCTCAAGAACTGCGTCTCCGAAGACCTGGAATGCAAAGTGAAGTGCCGTGCTGTTTGTGCTGTCTCTTGCGGCACTGAAGGGGGCGCTCTCCGAGATGCTCCTTTCTTCGCCAGTTCCGACCGCTTGCAAGAAGTGGCTGCCCTCATTGGCGAGGGGCATCCCGAAGGGATCCGTGTCGTTGACGCGCTGCCACGTGGAATTCCCCACCTCAAACCACAAGCACCCGTCTTGCTCGAAGTTGCAAGACAGCGCTTCAACGTCCACCGTGGGGATGCCGACCCCGATACCATCCACGGCAAAATCTGGGCCGTGGTCGCGAAAAATGGCCGGATCAAGCACCGCTTTCCCCTCAAACCTCAGAGCTTGCGCCTCCGTCGGCAAATCCACGACCGCATGTCGCCACAAGTCGATTGGAGACGCGGGAGGTGCCACCCAGAGCGTGATCCAACCCAGACTGGGGGAACAGCCAGTGCTGCAATACTGGAGTTCCACCACGCTTTCATGGTCCCCCGTCGTGCTGAAGATGTGGTAGAGGAAGTGAAGCTGGCGCCTCGTCCCGTTGCCAGGACCAAAGTGCGGGCTCTCCAGGATGCGCGAGTCATTACGAAGGCCAGTTGAGAGGAGCATGTACCAGGAGCCCTCCGACTCCACCGCATGCATTGGACCTGTCTGCGGATACCAGAAGGTGTAGGAGGAGGCCCGGTGCCAGACCTGGCGATGTCCGATATGCAAGGTCAGCCCGTACTGCTCACCTGGAGCCCTAAACCATACTTATATATATA